TTAATATAGTTTATAAGTTTATATAATTAAAATTAATAGAGTTATAAATTTTTAAAGATATTATAAATTAGGTAGTTAGGTTGAAAAGCGGGTGGCCGGTTTCTGGGGGTGGCCGGTTTCCCCGTATCCGACGTTAAATACGGCCAAGACCTGCAGTTTGCTCCCTTATCGATCTCTCTTCAAATCAAATTTATTCATCACAACTTACTTGGTTCTCTATAGTAACTTACCATTGCCATGCCGAACTTTCAGGAAATTACAGCAGCTTCAGTGCAATCACGAAGCCGCATTCGCCATCACATCTACCAAACACCTCTCATCCCCGCCAAAAAGGTTGGCCGCGATCTCAAAGCCAACGTCCTTTTCAAGGCTGAAAACTTTCAGCTCACGGGATCTTTCAAAATCCGAGGCGCCATGTCCAAGCTGTCGGCGTCAGGACAAGGTCGATTGATCACTGCTTCGTCTGGCAACCACGGCATTGGCTGCGCTTTGGCATCGCGGACTTTATCCAAGGATTTCACCATCGTCCTCCCCGAGACTGTCGTTTCTGCCAAGTTAAATGCGATCAAGTCATATGGTGTCGAGGTAATCCTCCACGGCGCTGAGCCTGGTGCGTCTGAGCAACATGCCCAGAAGCTTGCGGCCTCGGGCGATTATACTTATATATCGCCATACAACGACCCCGATGTCATGGCGGGTCAGGGTACCATTGGCCTCGAACTTCTTGAACAATGTGACCATATCGATAACATCTTTATCTCCATGGGTGGCGGTGGACTCATCAGTGGCATCGGATCCGTCCTCAAAGCAAACAACCCACGAATCAAAGTCTACGGCGTTTCAACGATCAACTCAAAGGCTCTAGCTGCTTCGATGGCAGCAGGTCACGTCGTTGAGACACAACATCTCCCCACCTTGGCTGAAGCTTGTGCCGGTGGCATCGATGAGGACACAATAACCCTCGGACTGGCAAATGCAGTCATCGATGAACTGATTGACTGCAATGAAGATGAGATTAAGGAGGCACTGAAAGAACTTGCTTGGTCTGAGAGTATGATTGTTGAAGGGTCTGCTGCCTTGGCTCTTGCTGGTTTCAACAAGGTGGCTTCAAAACTGGCTGGGCAAACCAGTGTCATTCTCCTCTGCGGGTCGAATTATGATCAAGCCATAATCAATAAGATAATCTCTGAACTATAAATAAGCCAAATAAAAGAGCTTTTCACTTTTGTCATCACAGGCCTGGCAACATCTTGACTATCAGTTTTGCTCTCTGATCCATTAGCTTGATATCTTAGTTCTGTCTGCTGATTTAAGCTCTCAGCCATGAGCCTCAACTGCAAATTCAGGATCTGCAATAGTAAAAATTCTTAAAGTTATATAATCCCTTAAGTCTTAGAGTAGAAAAGGCAAAATACCGTATTCCTACTTCTGGACAGCTCAAGCTGGCCCCACTTTACGCATCGTTTGAAAAGCCTAACTGGCTCTAAGAATATGCATGTTGGTTCAGCTCATTCCTGAAAGACTGGCAAGTGACTTAATGTGAGGGGTTTTAAATCCCTCTTTTCTGAAAAACATCATCAAGTATCCTCTCAACTTACCTACAAATAATCTTCACTTGCAATGCCTGTGTGCGGCCCATGTCACGATGCTATTTGCGACATCTACCCCAAGGTAGAAACCATCCAACCCAAACGGGAAACCACCGTAGCGTACCCTTCATTCGATCCAGACGCTAAGGGAAAATGCTGGATTTGCATCAAACACGCTGGTTTCTTGGAGGACCACTACCCCGCAGTTTATGAACGATGGCTCAAGCATGAACTGCTAGTCACCGTTCAAGCTGATTTCGCTTCGCTTGAGCAAGAGGCACAACCAAGAACTCTCCATAGCCCCTCTGACGAAACTTTGCCACCTGACAGTCGTGGTCGTCAAAACTTGGAGGTTCGTCAGTTGATCCTATATCGCAATCATGGAAGCGACAAAAAGTCAGGTTGCCTCGTAGAGCTCCAGTTCTACAAGCAAAGAGGTGAGAGCGATCTTGGAGTCTCATAATCCTCATTGATTCTAACCAGCTACAGAAGTTCCACAGACAAGGTTACATGTAGAGGATAGCGCTCCTAACCTCATCAATATTTCTCAAATTCAAGCTTGGATAGGCAATTGCAGACAACTACATACAGCATGCTGCTCATCCCCGGGAGTAAATTGGTATCCCACCCGTCTACTAGACTTGGTTGGAGATGAGGGCATGATAAATGTAGTTGTCACCCAAGAAGACAGACCCATCGGGCCGTACATGACACTGAGCCATCGGTGGAGCAACTACAAATATGAGAAGCTCACTTCGCAGTCGCTCAGTCGCTTCAGGCGCTCTATAGATATATCGTGTCTGCCACGCGTCTTCCAGCAAGCAATTGAGGTCACGAGGTTACTTAAGATCCGTTACCTTTGGATAGACTCGCTCTGTATTATGCAAGATACTGCCTGTGGGGACTGGAAGGCGGAGGCCTTGAAGATGGGCGACGTATACGCGAATTCTTTTCTCAACTTATCGGCTTCATACACAGCTGGTGACGACGAAAACCCATTCATCTTCTCTCCTGAGTCTTGGAATCACGTCCTCCCCTCTAAGATCGTCCTAATGGATGACAAAGAACTGCGCAGTAATTTCTTCGTCGATGGAGACTTGTGGAAAGATGAGGTCGGCGAGTCACCATTGATGGAACGTGGCTGGGTCTTTCAGGAGCGATTTCTAGCACCACGTGTGCTTCATTTTGGAATGCGGCAACTGGCTTGGGAATGCAACGGAGGAGGCGCGCTTCAAATGTTTCCGGCTGGCCTACCACCTCGTTTTGAGGATAACTACAAAAAGGATGTATGTTGGCCCATGATGAGACCGATGAACACATTGAGTTCAGAGGAGTTTTGTAGTCGCTGGCATGAGATCGTTACTGCTTACTCCGCCTGTCGCCTCACATTCAATACGGATAAGCTTATCGCTTTTGCCGGGATTGCCAAACTTATTCAATCCGCGGGGCGTGACGAGTACGTCGCAGGAACTTGGAAGAGCACAATCATCGCTGATCTTGCGTGGTGGGTCTATAAAGCCAACGGTCGGCTGCCTTCGGGCAATCAAGCGACTCACCGTGCCCCTAGCTGGTCATGGCTTTCCTTGGACAGGGAGATATGTTTTCACCCCTACCCATCGGCACACCATAAACAAGAGTATTTTTGTCGCGTCATAAGAACTCCGGCAAGAGAGGCAGCCGGGGTTTCGGTGCTTAGTGCAAACGGCATCCTCGAGCTACAAGGGCTTGTTCTCCCCGTCGATTCCCTCGAGTGGCACAATATGGAAGTCAGATCCTTCAAGATAGGCAATTTCCAGTTGGACTCCTGTGGAGGGCCAGAAAGCACAAACCTCGATTATGATGGCTCTAAAGCAGACATTATGAGTCTTGTGTCTCAGCAGCAGCTTTTTATGCTTCCACTCTACGCAACTGGGAGACTGATAGTTGGCATTTTGGTCTCGAATTTGTATACTTACCCAGGCTGGCGCAGGATAGGTGCGGTAAGTATCCACTATCTAAACATTCCACCAGAGCTTCATGCTCCCGCTCTTGATGGGTGGATTAAGATTCCTGATTCTCGTTGGGCACTTCATATCCATGGTTACAAGCTTTATCATGACATTTCTACAGCCTTTCAGGGAGATAATGTTACTAGTATTAAGTTAGTATAAAGAGTGCTACACAGGCTTGTTGTCGACATTAAATAGTTTGTACTTTTTTAGTAATATTTAGCTAATTGGATATTGATAATAATGTTTTACTTAAATAAAATAGCAGGGCATATCTGCTAGCAGCTGATACTTACTCGCTTTGCTTCCTTTACAGAGCGATATGACTTAGAGAGAGGAAGGTGACAGTGTTGGCTGTGTCGAAACATCAACTACAGCCATCAGCAGCGAGGCTAATACAGCCATAGCCACCACTGAAAGCTCAACTATTGTCTTCGAGAATACTACCGCGACCACCACAACCGCCGAAAGAGAGCCGACTTATCTCGTCAACCCCAGCTTTGACGATGACACAACCGCCCCATGGATAATGACGTCTTACCCTGACCAGCTCATCGATGATAACAGTAGCAATGGATGCCCTTTTGTAAGCGCTGGCTGTCTGGTGGGGCCTTAGGATAACCTCCAGAATCTGCCAGGGCAGGAAGGAAATATGAGATTAGGTGGCCTTTACCCGGATTGGTATTTCATGAACTCAGGCTACACGTTTACTAAAGAGGTTGTAGCTCAGTATGACACGTGAGACCAGTGAGCTTTTTCACATACTCAATATAGTTAGCGCATGGCGTAGCTATGTTTCGTGTAGAAGAATGGCGAGAGTTTAACCGATATGGGCGGGGCATCCAGTTTCCCTGGTGGTGATTGACGTTAAAATAACTGCTTTGGGTATCCCGCCCGTTGTATTAGTGCCTCAGGCTAGGCTTCAGTTAATGGTGTGTGAGCATACTATAGGGTAGTCTATAGTTAACTAAAAGTCTTCAATAAGAAGTTGTAAAATAAATATTTATAAAACCCTGGAATTACGAATTGAAGATAATATATATATTTACTTAGTATTATATCTATGTTATTATGTACATCAGTCTTCATATCTATTATTTGGAGAACATCACGACGTAATCACGGTTTAATTATCCGCCAAGCTTTTAATTGACTCTTTGTTTCCAAATCTGTTAGTTTGATATCTCAGCAAAAATCACAAATAGGTAAGGGTCTCGAAAGTTGCATTATTCTCCAAGTCTAGTAACACAAAGCGCAGATCAAGTTATAGGACCGAAAACCCAAAGACACTGCATGTCCTTGCCCCGGATTTGCAGGATCAAAACCAAGGCACGCGAGACCCCCAGAATTTTTCCCATGGGGCGCCGACACTTCACCCAAACGAGTTCCAATGGAGCGCTCTGCTCCACTGGACATCTTGGCTACTAAGCTTCTTCTTGCCGCCCGTCTTACCAGCGCATTTCTTCAATCTCACGTGGTAATCCTGCTTATTGAGTCCGGCGTATGATCGGGATTAACTCGTATCCTCCTGGTATGTAGACATGGTCCTGTTTCAGAGATTTTGAGGCCATTTCCGGTATTCCCGATACAACCCGATGCACGTTGGAGAGAAAATGGTAAGAGTGGAGACGCGTTGGTTGTTACGCGACAGGATTCGATCACGAAATTGGGTTGAGCGAAACATGGAAGGATCCTGGTCATTTTGGTAGACGTTGGTAGGTATTTGTTACATAAATCAATTTAGCATGGTATGATTCTGAATGCAAAAGAATACTCGGGAATAACAACGACCAGACCATTCTCTCGAGACTGATGTTGGTATCTTAGATTGAGCTGCAATTTGGCTAGTGTTGTTCGGGTTAGCGAGCATGGCTGGAAGCATCTCGACTATCGTGAAATGCTCCGATGGACCAGGATGCTTTACGAGAGTCATCGTCATCGTCATCTTGAACGTTGAGGCCGCTTGTTGAGTCTCTGTTCCATCGATGATCGCGATCGTAATTAACTCTGATCAACACCAACAAAGATGATCGCATTTTAACTTTATTTATAACGTTAACGGGCTTGTCTCAACTCAATTTCAATGCTGGCAGAAATGGCCCTGACCGTTTCAATAGCGACAGGTTCGCCTACAGCCGCCCGGTCAATTGAGTCGAGTCTCAAGCCACGGGATAGCATTGACCATGCAAGCCATAAAACGATCCCTCAGTAACATTGCCCGAGATACCCGAGCCTCATCTTCGCCGACAAAATTTTCACCAACTAATCAACAGTCAATAACCTCAATTAGGCATCCGTATTCTTTGCCCTCCGTCCCACTTAGCACCAACTCTCCCTCTTCCAACGCCCGTTTTCCCCAAAAAGCTCAGACCAAATTCCTGATCTAAAAAACAGGCAGTGAAATAAACATACCAATGATTGGATCATTCGCTCAAGTGGAGAAATTCAAAGGATGGGCCAAGACTTTGCGGTTGTTTTCCCCCATGGCACAACATGTGGGGTAAGCGGGGAGGAGAGAGGAACAAGCTTGGTTTTTAGGGGGAGAAGGGAGAAGAATTTCGGTGCCTAAAGCCACTTTTTATTTTTATTTTCTCCGCATGAGATGAATAGTTGGGGATATCTTGGGTTTTGATTGAGGTCGATATGCCTCATAATAACAGGGCAATCTCACAAAGAAAATAGAGAGTAATTGATGAGTCCGTCGAGAAGGAAATGATCTTCAATTGCAAGCAGTAAACAAGCAAAAAGTCCTGCACCGGTCCCACTCTAGTACTCTAGTCCAATAAAACCAGCTTCTCCGCGTTGATCCCACGGGGTAGCACACCTCCAACACGCTCTTGGCGCGAGGTGATATCATGCCGGCCAAGACTGTTAACCTGCTGCCTGGGCTTGGCAGCTCGGGTTGCCAAGTTTGACCCCAGAGGGTTGCCAAACTGCCGTGCTTTAAATTTAAGCTTATATATAATACCAGCCTCAGGTTATGAAGATCTCTTGTTGTTGTTTCAGCAGTGTCTCTCTTCTTCTCTTTCTCACTGACTGTCGATTCACTGGACTTTGATCATGGATGACAAGGATATCTCACCTGGCCACGGTGGCTCGTCTTATGATGACAAGACCGTCACACCTCCGCCTGAAAAGGGCGGTGCTGAGATTCTAGAGCATGCTCCCCGTGGTCGTCGTCAATCCGTCGCTCTCAACATTATCCAAAACCCTCTACAGGTATATTCCACTACATCTCATCCCAATCTCTCCCATAACTCACCAATATCATAGAGCAAAACAAAAGATCAAGTCGTCGCTGACGCTCGCGCCTTTGCCGAGTCCAATGGCATGTCCGAGCACGTCGACCTCTTCAGCCGAGCCGCTCTCATCGCTCGAGACCCCGATAGCTTCGAATCGGCTGATCTTCTCGATGACGAACGCGCTGCGCTCATTTATGAGAGAGACCACAAGTGGCATGGATCTAAGATGCTGTGGTACTCGATTGGTCTTTGCGCTGTGGGTGCTGCTACGCAGGGATGGGATCAGACAGGTGCCAATGGCGCTAACCTCTCGTTCCCTAAAGAGTTCGGTATTGATGGCGAGGGACGTGATGAGTGGATTGTTGGTATCATCAACTCCATCATCTTCCTTACTGCTGGTCTGATGTAAGCTTTAATCCCCTTACGACTTCTTGACTTCATCTGACGTTATGTCTCTAGCGGTGCCTTTATCGTCGACCCTCTTAACCACTACTTTGGCCGACGTGGAGAGATCTTCATCACAGCCTGTTGCTTGGTAGCTACCCCTATCGCCTCTGGTTTCGCTAAGAACTGGCAAGAGCTTTTTGCCATCCGTTTCATTATGGGAATCGGTATTGGTGCCAAGAATGCTACCGTGCCAATCTATTCTGCTGAGATGGCTCCTGCTCGCATTCGAGGTGCCCTCGTCATGTTCTGGCAACTTTGGGTCGTCATTGGTAAGATGCCTTTCAGATCCCGTCAATAGAATCTCCATACTGACTATAACAGGCATCTTCCTCGGTTTCTGCGCCAATGTCATCGTCAAAGATGTCGGCGCCATCGCCTGGCGTCTTGAACTCGGCTCTGCCTTCATCCCTGCCTTTTTCCTCGCCGTCGGCATCTACTTCTGTCCAGAATCTCCCCGTTGGCTGATGAAGCACGGCCGCATCGCGGATGGCTTCGTCTCCATGTCCAAGCTTCGAGCTCACCCCATCATCGGCGCTCGCGATTACTACTACTCTTACGTCATCTACCACGAGGAGCTTCGCGAGAACGCTGGCGCTGGCTACTTTCGTCGTCTTTGGGACTGCTTCGCTGTTCCTAGAATTCGACGTGCCAACTACGGTGCTAGCACTGTCATGTTGGCCCAGCAGATGTGCGGTATCAATATCATCTCTTTCTACAGCTCTAGTATCTTCCGAGAGGCTGGCTATAGTCACGACGAGGCTCTGTATGCTTCTCTGGGCTACGGTGCTATCCAGGTTGTCTTCACCATTCCTACTCTCTTTCTGATCGATACCAAGGGCCGGCGATTCTTGACCCTGGCTACCTTCCCCTTCATGTGCATCTTCTTGCTAGCTGGTGGTCTCTCTCTTCTCAACAACAGCGATAACCGAGCTGCCAACATTGGTCCTGTAGTTCTCTTCGTCTACCTTTTCACCATCGCCTACTGTCTCGGTGAGGGACCTGTGGCCTTCCAGTATTCAGCTGAGGTCTTCCCCACTATCCAGCGAGAGCAGGGTATGGCTTGGGCTGTCTGCATCAACAACACCTTCGCTGGTGTTCTTGGCTTGACCTTCCCTCGTATGAAGACTGTCATGACACCTACTGGAGCTTTTGGCTTCTATGCTGGACTCAACCTCATTGCTTGGGGTATGATCTTCTGCTTCGTCCGCGAGACTAAGCAGATGACCCTAGAGGAATTGGATCGTAAGTTTACCCCACTATAACATCAATGAGGCACATTTACTAACACGCAACACAGAGGTCTTCTCCGTCCCTACAAAGAGCTTCTTGTCTCATGAGACAAAGGTATGGCTGCCGTATATCTTCAAGCGCTATGTCCTTCGCAAGGACATCCAGCGCCCTCCTCCCATTATCGAGAAGGGCGAGAAGACACTCGCGTAATTGGTGGAACAACTGGGGTCGCTGTCATGTTTACAAAGAGCAAGCATCCTGAGTCAGGCGGTGGATAATAGATACCCAGTGCAATCCAATCATGAAGTAACATCAGATCGCTAAACCAAACCAGCATGATTGTAAAATCCGTTGCTGGATGGGATGGCCATTTAACCGTGATCATGGCTAAGACACAACTACGACCCTGTAATTTACAAGGCCTCCAGCCTGATCCTTCATTCGCCGGCACCTCATTAGTCGGTGACGCGGAGTTGCCTCTGAAGAGGATATGGTATCCCTGTTGAGCTGAAGCTGAGCCTCGCCATGAGTCGCGGATAGAGCAGAACCACGTCATGCCACTGTGGACTTGGAGGTCCTTTTAGGAAGGCCATGTACGAAAATGACGACTAAGCAGAGTCGGCGGGATGACGCCCATCCCACTGCCCCTCCGAACCGCGCGCGTCGATAATCAATCGCCGACGTGATTGGAGGAAGCGTAGAAACAATGGGGATCATGTCACCCTGGTGCTCATATCCCTTTGAATCCGAGGGAGCACCACCAATGTACTTTTGTAGGGCAGGCTCCAGTATTGATTAGCTGCTGATCTTTACGCCATAAATACCAGCCTTAAGGAGGTATAGCAGTAAAGCTAAAGGTTACGATCAGTAACTTGTATTATTAAAGGTACTTAAATCTTAGCCTATTAGTCCCCTAAACTTAAGTATCTTTAATACTAGCTTCTTAATTAGTAGGACCTATAAAAGATACCAAGGTGGTGCTGCCTCGGATTCAAAGGGATAAGCCATCATGCAAGATCGGCATTGACAAAACTCTATCCTCAATTTGGCCGGCGGGAACACCGTCACGGTATTTCCGAGTCAGATTGAGTCCATGTAATGCAAGTCGAATACCAAGTTTGCGCATATTCTGTTTCTCGTATAAATATGCCCGAGTCCCATCTCCGTCAATTCATAAACGTCCAGTAGCACCATCTTCATCAGTAACCTCTCACTGCCTCTATTCACCGTCCTCAGCATGAAGCAATCTTTGTTCTCGCTCGCCTTTCTGGCAAGCTCTGTCGTGGGCTATGATCAAGTCCTCGGATTCAACGAGAAGGCCCAAGTCGAAACCAGAAGCCTCGATGAGATCTACAAAGCCGCGCTGAAAGAAGGAGGCACTGTTACCCTCTGGCACGGCGGAGATGCGCCCAACCAGCGAGCCGCTCTCAAGCAATCCTTTGAGACACGCTTCCCCGGCATGAAGCTCAACGTCACTGTTGATCTGTCCAAGTACCACGATGCCAGGGTAGATCAGCAGCTCGCTGCCGGGGGAGAGTCTGTTTACGTCGACAGCGTGATCCTCCAGACATTGCACGATTATCCCCGCTGGGCTCAGGAGGGCGCTCTGCTCAACTACGCCCCCAAGGGCTTTGACCAGATCGACCATGCTTTCAAGGACAGCACTGCTTATTGGTATGGTGTCTATGTCTTGTTCTGGGCCAATGCCTGGAATACGGAGAAGCTGCCTGGTATCAAGGCGCCCACCGAGTATAATGACTTCCTTCGGCCCGAATTCAAGAACAGGCTTGCTCTTACCTACCCCAATGACGACGACGCTGTTCTCTATGCGTTCTATCTTATGTAAGCTAGTCGTGTCTTTTTTTTGTTGATCAAACCAGTGCTAATGAAAATGTAGTATGCAACAGAATGGCGCCTCTTGGTTCGAGGACCTTCTCAAGCAGAACCCTCGCTGGGTCCGCGGTACAGCAACCCCAGGCAACATCATCCGCGCAGAGAACGCCACTGAAGCCGCCTACTTCGCCGTCGGCGGGCGATTCGGCGAATCCAAGCCTCTAAAGTTCGCCCATCCTAAGCAGGGAAAATACGTATCTTGGCCGCAGACCGCCGCTATCCTCAAGGACGCTCCTCACCCCGAAGGAGCCAAGCTTCTTCACAACTACATCCTCAGTGAGGAGTTCCAGTCCACGATGGGTCTTTGGTCTGTTCGTCGCGATGTTGCCACTCCAGCTGGTTTCCCCGATCTTCGCAACGAGACTGCTACCAACCCGACTGAGTTTGCGCGATTCATGAAGGATAGAGTTTTGGTCGAGAGACTTCGATTCTGGTTTGAGGCTCGTATTGGCACCGCTGGGGGTGTTGATCCTATCTACAATCCTATCAACCAGTAAAAGATGGAGTATTCTGTCAATGCCGCGTCGCGTTTTTTCTTTCTTTCTGGCTACGTAGTCAGCAGAACATTTCGTGTACATACTACTCAGGTCAGCTGAGTGAACTGTTAGCCTGTATTTCAATTACATATTTTCTCACAAAAGATCAAGCACTTTGGCTTAAAAGCGACACGCAGGAATGGTCAATTGATTGCAAAAAGTATGTGGAGGGGATGATCGACAACCTCAATTGCAGCCTTGGTTGAGTGTCGTGTCGGAGACTACAACAAACGCTTTCCTTTCAAACAGGAGCATCGAAATGATTTTGTCGAGGTGCGTATCTTGACCATTAGGCGTGTTTTCTGTAGCTAAAGCTGATAATGATTCCAAACAACCATCCAGCTCGCATGCCTTTCCAATCTAGGCAAGATGCAGCCCATCTGCGACGTTTCATTCTTGCACAGCCCTCTCACCCTCAAAAGCTGCGACAGGTCATTCATTGACCTCGCGATAGAAGCCAAGTCTTGCAACATGACACAACAAATGTTCTGGAGCTTGGGGTAGCAGTTGTGGCGCTTTGACGCAGATGTAACCGCCTCTTCTTCAGAGTTAAGCTATAAGCGTCTAATTCTTAACTTAATACCTAAAACTGAATGCGTCAAGCCCAAAAAGTGGCGGTGAAACGTTGTCAAAACGGGGCGCCTAGTGGTTGTTTCAGCATCGTGAGACTCCTTGAGTGGAGTGGATTTGATGGAGAGAATGCCGAGATCTGTCGGCTCGGCACTGGGCCGAGAATCTGAGCACATGGATTCGCATCTAGGAAATAAACTCAATTAATATCTAAGAACGCGGAATAACGCATGAATTGTTTATAAACGATTGAGTGTGTTTGCATAAACAGAACGCTTGATCACTGCTCACATCCACTAGCAATAGCATAGCACTTTTAGATAGAATTAAATTGCAACAATAACGCCAGTCACAAATAAGCTTCAAATGGTGAGAAGGATTCAATAGTTCGGCTTCGCTGACTACAGATTCCCTTTGGCCTTGGCCTTTTGTTCGCAAAAAGCTGCGCCTACCTGGTACTCTTCGTTTCCGGTTCCATCACCAAAAACACGAGCCTATTAGCGCCGATCAAAAGAACATTCTCTCACAAACAAAGCCATTAAAACTCTTCCCTAAAAGCGTGTTAGGCCCAGGGTTAACCTCTATTAATAATACGCGGCGGCCGACGAGAGTGAATCACGAACTCAAACATCTTGGTGTTTAGGGTTGCAAAAATCTGAGATACCAATCGCATTCACTAAAAGAGCCAAGAATTCTCCGAGTTTCTTAGAGCCGACAGTTTCACATGTCAAGTCGTTCTGGGTGTAACGCTAGATCCCGTAGGGGGTCTGAGCGAAACATGAAACACCAAGAATTTTGAAACATGGGTCAAGACTTGAGACTCGTGAACTGACTTACTGAGAGGGAAATAATGTGGCTGTGAGAGGCGTTGAGACAAACGGAAACGATGACCTGAAGCTGAGGATGGGGTTTCTTCTGATGCGATTTGCTGATCGCTGATGATCAGCGCTAGGGAGGACATAGCGAGCCGACAACCGAGGAGGTCGATATCAAACATCTATGTCACTTGCGATACAGACGCAAATGTGTATATAAGAGTTGCATCATTCGACATTTAGGAAAATAATCCAGCAGCATCTCAATCATCTTCTCTTCACTTCACTTCCTTTCTAAGAAAGCCTAAGTTAGCCCTGGCGGCTCAGTTTCAGCAACACAAACTTTATTAATTCTTTTTCGATCTATACAACCTTAAAAAATGCATTCTCTTGCTATTGTCTCTGCCTTCTTTGCCATGGCATCTGCCCATGGAGTCGTTCTCTCTGTTGAGGGAGCCAACGGAGTCACCATGCCTGGTCTCAGCAGTAAGTATCCATCTCACTTGGACCTGCACAACAGAATGTCTAACAGTGAATAGTTGCTGATGGAACGCCTCGTGATTGCTCGAGCAACCGATGCGGTTCGCAAGCCGACACCTCCATTATTCGTGATCGTGAGATCCGCAGTGGAAAGGCCAGCGCTCTGGGCAGGACCCAGGGTAACGGCCCTGTTGACCCCGCCGTCATGATCTCTAGCTTCTTGGGCAGCGGAAACGCTAATAATGTTCCTACCAACAACGGCACTGAGAGTGCTGCTGGTGTTGAGGATGACTTGTCCAACCTGCCTAAGGGTAACAACCAGGGCAACAACAACAACAACAACAACAACAACAACAACAACAACAACAACAACAACAACAACAACAACAACAACAACAACAACAACAACAACAACAACAACAACAACAACAACAACAACAACAACAACAACAACAACAACAACAACAACAACAACAACAACAACAACAACAACAACAACAACAACAACAACAACAACAACAACAACAACAACAACAACAACAACAACAACAACAACAACAACAACAACAACAACAACAACAACAACAACAACAACAACAACAACAACAACAACAACAACAACAACAACAACAACAACAACAACAACAACAACAACAACAACAACAACAACAACAACAACAACAACAACAACAACAACAACAACAACAACAACAACAACAACAACAACAACAACAACAACAACAACAACAACAACAACAACAACAACAACAACAACAACAACAACAACAACAACAACAACAACAACAACAACAACAACAACAACAACAACAACAACAACAACAACAACAACAACAACAACAACAACAACAACAACAACAACCGCAGGCGCCAGCTGGGTAACCTCTTGGGCGGACTCTTCGGTGGTGGCCGTGGAGGTGGTGGTGAGAAGACCGAGACTGCTGAGGAGACCAGCGTTGCTGCTTCTGCTGGAGAGGGAGCTACCAAGGGCTTACCTACAGCCTCTGATAACGGCGAGGTCACCATGACCTACAGACAGGTAGGTCTTATGCATCTTCCTTGGGTATCTTAATCTAACTAACTCCCCCAGATCAACCAAGACGGCGCCGGTCCAATGACAGCTGAAATCGACGCTACTTCCGGCGGCAGCGACCCCGATGCCTTCCAAACCGCAGAGGTGACCCAAGATGTTCCTGGAATCGGCATCCAGGGTCTCTCCCTCGCCACCAACACCGACTTCCCCCTCAAGGTCCAGATGCCCCAGGGTATGACCTGCGAAGGATCCGTCGGAGGCGCCAACAACGTCTGCATCGTTCGTGTCCGTAACGGTGCTGCTGCTGGTCCTTTTGGTGGCTCTGGTGCTTTCACCCAGTCTGCTACTGCTAGAAAGCGTGCTATTGCTTTCCGTCTTAAGAAGCGCATGGAGATTGTTCGCTTCTAAATGATGTTTGAGAATGTATTAGGGACAGTAGAGGATGAGAAGAGGATTGAGGATAGTTGCGGACCTGTCTCTTAGTAATACATGTAGTATTACCTCCAACAAAGAATACTTCATAACAATCTAACTTCTGTGCTTGATCTTTAAGCTTGTATCACTTATGATCTAGCTGCACACTTACACGTTTAGATTCAAGGAGCGCCTTCTCAGTCTCGTCAAGTAAAGCCTTACTTTTTGCCACGCTAACCTCTTCTAGGTATCTTCTCCATGCTTAGCAGTAAGTTCAGTATAACTTTCTTTCGCAATATACAGGGCCTGATACCTTACATCTACAGGAGTTATATAATTCAGAAAGTCCTGCATTATGGTCAACACCTACCTGAGGTTGTGGGGGATCTGTCTTTTTAACAGTCTCCTAAAGGTAAGTAAAAGTGCCTATTTATAGGCAGGGCTGAAAATAAGGAAACTTGGCAATCTACATAATTTGCATCTTGCATAATTATTGAGGCCTCCCACGCGATGCGTAAAATTTAGCCAATAGTTTCTAACCTGCACTTTTTCTCAACTAATGATTGGGTGCCTCATTTCGGGTACACATACTGGAGCCTGAATCACATTCCCCGCACTCTTCCTTCATAGTAAGCGGGCCAGCATCTTTCACTTGATTTTATCTCAATTATACACCCCTTAAATATAAGCGGCTACAGATTTAATCTGCTGTTTCATTGAAATAGACCAATCTATTAGGCGTTGCACCTTAGCCTGACATATTTGCCCGGTCAAAATACTAACGTCGACTGCCAAAAACTCTTGCCGAACCAATTCAATACCATGCCTCTCAGGATAAAGTTGAAGAAGATTTTCCACCATCGCAATGAAGAAGCCATCTCAGAAAGCCCTAGTGATGGGCCGAGTGAAAATCAGCAATCGAGTCTCACGATAAACACACGACCTAGCTACGTCGCTACGATGGAGACATCCAGAATATCCCCACCAGTTCCAGCCTTGGAGGACGCGAGCGCGCCTCAACAAGCTCCAGATGAGGAGCCGCTAGCCCCTACAAAAAGCCACAATTCTATCCGGCAGTTATGGGCTGTTGCATACATGAGCCTACGCAATGAGGAAGATTCGCCCGTTCAAGCGTTCGAAGATCAGATCCGTTGCAATATGCCTGACATCGCCGACAGAATGAGCTCAGACGCGAGTACGAAAGACTGGACGAGTAGCGTTGTACAAACTCAGATGGATCAAGTCAAGCGAGACACTTTGAAGCTGAGATTTGGGAATTTCGAGGTGGAAGCCCAGGAAGTCGTCAAGTCGGTCCTAGCAGTTGTCAATTGGAGTAAGGACTACGTCTCTAAAGCCCTGAGCTCAAATCCCACGGCATCTATTGCCTGGGGTGGAGTAACTCTGTTGCTACCGGTAAGTCAATATCTCATTATTGTCCGTCAGTCTCGGGAAACTAATACTTGTTTGATCCGCTAGCTCTTTTTAAACCCCATAGAACAAGCTTCTTCTTTGGCCAAGGGACTCGAGCACATTGCATCGATAATAGTTCGGAGTTCCATGTGGGAGGATCTTTACGTACGGCGCTACGAGTCTACGACTAGCGACACTCTGCCAGAATCGCATGCTGAGTACCGTCGTGCGTTGGAAATGCTATACCAAGAGGTACTCAGGTTTCAGATTGTTTGCTACGGCTACTATAATCACAGATCTGTCTCTCGCTTCGCTTTGGAGTCTGTCAAGCATCATGGCTGGGACGAACTGCTCGAAAAGATTAAGTACCGTGAGATCGAATTCGACAAAGTCAGCCATGGTTGGCGAGACAAGATGTATAACGAGGAATGGGAGAAGGCAGAGGCACAGCATCAGCAAGCCATGGGTCAGTGGCGAACGATTGGAACCGATGTGTCTGAGCTCAGGAAAACGATCGAGGAAACTCAGAGAGACATGAATCGCGAAAGGATGCTAAATTGGCTTTGTGCGACCGACACTTCAGTGCAATATAGAGCTGCCCGAGAAAAATACAGCAGCGGAACCTGCAATTGGCTGATCAAAGAAAGCGATGATTTCGAGACGTGGGAAAAAGAGTCTAAATCTTTCCTATGGTTAAATGGAAAAGGTGTGACAGGCACTGGTTCTGATGTGTTTCTTCCGTTAATACAATCTAGCCGGCTCCGGGAAATCAATTCTGAGCTCATCTGTTATCAAATACTTAAAGGACCAGTACGAAAACAACCCAGAAACTGCGCTTGCATACTACTTCTTCAGCTTTGGAAACGTAGAGCAACAAAAGGTGTCTGTGATGCTCTCATCACTTGTACGACAGCTGTGTGCAAGTCGTCCAGATACACCACAGCCGATCAAACGGTTCAAAGATTATATGGCAAAGGGCGAGCGGCCAGACATAGAGACTCTTGAAGCCGCACTCATGTCTGCTGTTAGTGGGTTTTCCGCGACATTCGTCGTTATAGAAGCTCTCGATGAGTGCCCGGCCTTCGATGGCGAGCGTCTAAAGCTTTTGAACTGCCTTCGCCGCATCATCGCCTCAATGCCGGATAACATGCATATCTTTTGCACAAGCCGAGCCGAGCCAGATATTCATATGACAATTGGCGAGCTATTGGAAGGGCCCGCAAAAGCTGCCATTGATCTTACAGAGAATCGAGAGGGTTTGAACAGGGACCTACGTCTGTACATTGATACTGTTTTGGATACCAGAACGTATTGTTGGTGGTCAGTCGGCGTGAGGGCCAAAGCGAAGAATATACTGATCGCGAGAGCAGATGGAATGTAAGTTAGTCAAAAAAGCGGCGGCGCAGACCAGGTCGGTATTTTATAGTTAACACATATTTTAGGTTCCAATATCTTGTTTGCCAGTTCGAAGCCCTTCAATATCTAGATTCGGAAGCATCTGCCCTCTCAGCACTAAATGACCTCCCTACGGGACTCGACGAAACATATAACAGGCTGCTTCTAGGTCTCAACAGCAAGCTCAAATGGCAGATCTTGGGTGCGCTCAAATGGTTAGCGTTATCGAGAGAGCCTCTACATCTCGATGTATTTGCCAAAATCTTCATCTTCCGTCCAGAAACTGTCACCAAAATTCACAAGACCCAGCGGTTGTTTGACGCGCGAGCGGTTCTGAAACATTTCCCTAGCCTCGTGACGACTCAGGAGGAGGAGAGTTGGAACTATGACACTAACTGTTTCGAAATCAATACATATGTCCGCCTCGCTCACTTCACAGTCAAGGAGTATCTAATGTCCGAACGCATCAAAGAAAGTAAAGCGAAACAATTTCATTTTACAGAAGCGAATACTCACCTGCATATCTCGCATTGCTGCCTGTCATATCACCTATTTCAAACTGTTCAGAATACAGGAGACGACGTGGAACTCCCCTTGGAGACCTACGCAGTCCGAAACTGGGAATTTCATTTGGATATAGTACCACGTGAACTATGGACATACACTATCATCCAGCTCGCTGAGCTCGCTCTCTCCATGCGTACTAGAAGCCTCGAGAAGATTCTTTTCGAAGGACGACTGAGGGAACGATCGGATGTATACGGTGACCGAGCCCTGAATTTGATGCAGCGGCCGTACTGCTATACCGCCGCGATCGGGTCTCTCGAACTCACCAAATTGCTGCTTCAGAAAGGTTCACGAACTCGCAGATTCTTAACCCAGGAAGATCTCGACTTAGCCCTCCGAGAGGCAGCGGAGGAGGGCCATATCGAGATTTTCCGCTTTCTTCTCAATGAACGTGCTAATCCCAATGTGATCACTGGTGGTGCGTTACAAACCGCAGCGCATCGAGGCCACCTAGCGGTCATGAAGCTCTTACTAGACAATGGGGCTGATATCGATGCGCACGATGACAGATTTGGGTCAGCTCTGGAGGCCGCGGCAAAGGGCAGCAACCTGACAGCCTTGCGAATTCTCCTGGATCGTGGGGCTAATGTGAGAGAAGCAGGATGTCCTGTTTCGTGCCTCATTGCGGCGTATAGGTCATGGGACCGAAATGATGTCACACAGTGCATCCAGACTCTAAAACTTCTTCTCCACAAGGGTGCCAATATCAACAGAAGGTGTACGCGGCACGGCAGTGCTCTCAATAAGGCAGTGGAGGCGTGGATACATCAGAGAACACGTACCTTTTTCGACTTCGTCACAAGACGCAAAGCTGACGTTGATTTGAATGATGGGCGAGATGGCACCCCGTTACAAGTGGCATGTTCCGGTGACGTATTTCGGAGCAAAGAAGTGATCCTGGCCCTGCTGCGTCTTGGGGCTGACCCAAATGCTCAGGGAGGGCAGTTCGGTAACTCACTTCAGAAAGCATGTTATAATACCGATGACGAGTCTGGTCTGAGTCGCCTACTTCTCAAAAAAGGTGCGAAGATAAACCGGAAAGGTGGCTGTTATGCAACAGCCTTACACGCAGCCTGCGCGAAACCGAGCCTTATATTGGTTAATACATTGCTTAGTAGAGGCGCTGACTTGCATATACATGGCGGGGTGTATAGCAGTGTAATGCAAGCGGCCGCCTCCGTACAGGACTCGGATTATTCCAATGAAACTGCACTCATTACGCAAAAGCTGCTCGATAGTGGCGCTGATGTCAATGCGCCCGGTGGCATGTTCGGAAGCGCGCTACAAGCCGAAGTTCATTCACGCCGTGCCAATGTAGGCGTGGTAGAAACTTTACTTATAAAAGGAGCAGAAGTCAACATGAAGGGAGGGATGTACGGCACAGCACTCCAAAGCGCTTGTGTGCGAGGAAACATTGAATCAGTCCGCTTACTTCTTTCCTACGGTGCTGAGGTCAACATCGAGGGAGGACGGTATGGAACCGCGCTCCAGGCGGCGTGCGTATATGAACGCAAATACAGCAAGAAGTACTACGATCTGGCCCGCTTACTGATAGACCATGACGCAGATGTCCATGTTAAAAGCGGGTATTTTGGCAGTGCCTGGCATGCTGCGGCTGCACTACCCACCTGGCAGGATCCAGCCAACGACACATTGAAGCTGCTGCTCGATAACGGCGTTGATGTGAACCACTGCCATGATCGACATGGAACTGCTCTGCAGGTTGCACTCGAGCATTTTGAAGATGACATCGAAGTTAAGATCCTGTTTCTCCTCAAAAATGGCGCTGATGTCAATATCGGAGCCGGTCTCCATGGGTTCCCTTTGCAATCGGCATGCCTAGCACCTACAAAGGACTCAACTGGTCTGAGCTCACGCGGCCTCGTCTGCCTACTTAAAAATTGCTGTGACATCGAGGTCAATCAGATAGGCGGACTGTTTGGCACGGCTTTACAGTCAGCAGCGTACACAGGCAAGACAAAAGGTGTGAAGTTGCTGCTTGAGAAGGGTGCAGGTGTTAAACTTCGCGGCGGAGAATACGGTAGCGCCCTAAATGCAGCTGTAGTCAAAGGATATTGGGATATCGTGGAGATACTATTGGAGGCCGGGGCGAAGGCAGATTGTCACTTGTTCCCCAAAGCTGATGAGGAATGGCTAGAAGCAGTCGGGTTGGAGCAGGGATACAATGCCGTGAAGCGGTATAGGAACTTTTGGGAGAAGGTTAAGTTGTACGAGAATGAGGCTGTAAAAAGAAAGACTGTCTAGGTTTGTTTCATAAATCGATACAAATAAATCAATTTGATAATAAGAGTAATATATAAGTACAATGTAATAAAGTATTTAATTAACGTAATTACTATTCTATTCCGCTAAGCCTTATCTAAAAGCCTATCAATAGCACTCATGACACCGTACAGGCTTTTGGCCCGCTGGGCATCTTCCACCAACTTCTTGAACTCCTCCACTCCAGTGCCCTTTCCATCATATCCCCATTCCAATCCATAGTTCACCACATTACTATCAAAAGCGTAACGACCTCTATCCCTGCACAAGCCACAAAAGATGTCCTTGAACTCATCCGCAAAATGCATTCGCGGAAACGCGTTGGAAATCTCTCTGAACTCTTCTTCCGTTATAACACCCTCTAAGTTAGGTAGGTCCTTCGGCAAACCTAGGAGGTGCAGGTTTGGTCCAAGAAGATCGCCATGAACGCCGAAGTGAACAAGCGCGACTTCAGGCTCTTTCCACGGCGCAATGGTCTCCATTGTATGAAGTGCGATGGCATCCCAGGCAATCTGCATACGGCGACTGCCTTGTTCCCAATTTCCATCTTTCTCAGATGTTGCGTTGATGAAATCGCGAGAGAGGTTCGCACTATCAACTTCGAAGCGTCTCGTGTTCGTGACAAGCTCCTTCGTCTTGGACCAAGCGAGGTCATGGAGAAGACAGCTTACGACGACGAGCTCAACGTCAAGAGAGTCACTGAGTTTGGCAAACTCAGGAATCTTCTTCTGGAGAAGAAGGCAGAAAGCTGCACTTCGGAGGACGTGGTTTAAAACACCTGGAGTCGCATACTGTTTCGCATGTTGGTATGAAGATAATACAAGAGGGGTTATAGGAAATTCTATTCTCGTTAGAGGGAAAGAAGGGAAGGGGTTAGCAGTTGATGATGCCATGATAGTTGATGTTGATTGTGAAGATGCGATAAAATTTAGGTTGATTGTTTAAATTTTAATGTAGTTGTGGTAATGTTTTTGATATTGGCCTGGCACATCGCATTTTATAAGAGAATACTCAACAGAAATTGTGACAAATCGATTATTGCCATACTAGAGAGTCGGGCAACAAGATGTGTCAGAGAATGCAGAAAATGCCAGGATCTCTCCATGCTTGCTCAGGCGAATTATGTATAATTGCTGATAACAGAGATGTTTGTAGGTGCATTATAACCTTTGCTGTCACCACCGGCCTTTACAGCCACCTGCGCCACAGCTTCTGTCACCGCTTATGTTCAGTAATTATGAATTATAGCTTGCAACACTAGTATTCCACATGAATGGGCGGCTGTCTCAGTCCATTTGCTGGTTTAATATCCGAATCAGCCCGGAATATATGCTTGTAAATCGGCATGTGTCTATGCTTATGCCTCCCAACCACTAGCACAGGTCAGGACTAGCCGACCTGCATCTTATGAGAACACCAATGAAAAAAGAATAAACGTGCATCCGAATAGTCTCGGGCAACACGACCGCAACCTTCTTCTCTCGGGCGGATTACTTATGTCAATGCCACTCAATGGCGATTTCGATTTGTAAAAACTATTGCAGCCTGTTCTTGAGGAGCTAGGGTATTTTGGGGTATCATTATCAAAAAACAGAGAAGCAGTCTTGTATGATATATATGACAGATGTCAGATCTCCCGTTCTAAATTTCACTTTTATCATTATCAACTATCATCTAATACCTTGAGCCAAATACCTGAAATAATTGCCTCAACATTTTCTCCAGCAAACAAAATGTCCAAGACCGTTGCTGATCTTATTGCCGCCTACGAGTATGTCTTTCGCGATAACCTATTTTTTACCTAAAACAATCTAACCAGACAATAGCCCTCAGGGTTTCACTCCATTCCCAACTATCGCCGACGTGAACAAGGTTACCAAGCCTCGCCTTACCATTGTCGGTACGTGGCCCTAGAATACAGATTACAATGTCACTGAGTATTAGCTGACGAGATGTTATAGTCGCTTGCGTTGATCCCCGATGTAGCGTCGACAAGTTCATTGACTTTAACCTCGGAGTCCCAGAGGGTGAAAGTAGGTCAAGGACAACAAACTCACCGTCACAGAAACTAATCGCATGCAGTGGTAATGGTTTCGCGTAACGCAGGCGGGAACATCCGCTTCGCCGTCCGGGACATTCTTCTTCTAGATACCCGCTTTGTGATCGAGGAGCTCGTTATCGTTCATCATACCGACTGTGGCTCAACCATGTTTACCGACGAGTGGATGCATGACACTATCAAAGCGCGAGTTGGTGAGAGTCACTGGGATGAGATTGACCAGATTAACTGGGGCGCCAATACCGAGTAAGTGTTGAATCTACAGATGTGACGAGTTCGTAGTGCCTAATAATTGAGTGCAGCATGGCGGACAGTGTTCGAGGTGACCTCGAGTGGCTTCGCAAGAATGAAGTTATTAGAGACGAGCTGAAGAGTACGGCTCGTGGATTTCTCTCTGATATCAAAACTGGAAAGGCTGAAGAGATTAAGTTTGCTTAGATACTGGTATGCCTGGTTGGGCTCGAGAGGCGTTCGAAGCTCCCAGCCCCGAGGCCCCGACAACAGAAATTATCCGACACTGTACGTACTGTCCTTTTGCTTTATGGAGTTGATTATGTATTAATATACCTACATATTAAAGCTCAAACTATATTTTCTTATACCTAATTGTCTACACGCCATGCATACGGAACATTGTTATATCGAAGGCCACAGGGACGTGTTCCACGGTGCATGGAACCAGCTCGTCGAACGTTACTCAAAGTGCCGGCTCGCAAAGGAAGGAGAAAAGTTGAATGCAATTCATGGAAGAGACTGAAGAACGCGATTCCCGACCTTGCCACGCTGGCCACTGGGAGTCTCAAATGCCTGCATCACTGTGCTGGCATGTCAATTGGGGCGATCCCGGTGCTTCAACAACCCCGATCCACCATAGTCGGCCGCATGAATGGCTAGCCCTTTCATGGAGCTGGGCCTCACTAAAACTCCCAGTCTGCTGCAGGATCCCCGTAGATGGCATTAGCGTTGTCGAAGTTGTCACCATCAAGACGTCATGTCTTAGCAATGGAGAGCTGCAATCCAGCCAACTGCGTTTACGCGGGGCAATGTATCCAGCAGTGGCTGACAAGAGAACTGGCTGTTTGATAAGTAACTTCGAAGAGGGACACGAGCACATTCTCATCGATAGTACCAGCCTCTGTGTGGATGGTGGGTATTTTGATGACTCTCCTTTAGAAGTCTTACATTTTTTCATTTTGCCAGTTATTGAGAGACGCGAAACTCTTGGAGACTTCAGCTATCTTGTCTACTGTCTCATGTTGGAGCCGACGTGGACTGGGAGGGGGGTCTTTGTGCGAAAAGGGGTGGCGTTGTTAAGGCTGAAAGACTCTTATTATAAAATGTTCTCCATTCTTGTCACGGCCTCTTGCTGTTTAGTAGAGAGCAAGGGATGGGATATGGACGTTATTGATCTCCTTTAGGTTAGACCTATAGCCAAGCAGATAGCCCTTACTAGCTGGTAATTCTGTGTATGCGACTATCTGAAACCTGATCTATAAACTTTTTGGTGTAGACTACTTCAAGACTGATTTGCAGTTGACACTTGTGGCTGAGAGCTTAAATCAGCAGACAGAACTTAGAATGCTCAGTTCGAAGTTGTATTTTATTCCTACGTTTCATTCTCTGATCTTCTGTGGTCAGGATCTGACAAGGTTCACAAATAAAAGCTAATAACGTTGCGCGACACTATGTTCACATTTCGCGCCAAAAAGCAATGCTTCTTACAGCCAAACGATAGGCATAAGCTTTCTTAAGAACATTTTTACTTTGCTTGCCGTGACCTCGTAAGAACTCAACTACAGCTAACCCTATAATCTTCTTCATACATGAGAAGCTATCGCAACCTTTCCCCCATTTCCATCATCAAATACCAGCCCACTGTACCATATAATATCGAGAAGCATGGGATCCAACATGACCGGAAAGGATGGTATTAGAGCGAGATGGTAAGTCCCACCTACAGTAAGTGTTGGACTACATACTAACACGGAGTAGTCTACGGGCATCGAGAAAAATACTTGGTCTAATACAGCGACCTGATATCTCGGACACCGTCGATCACAGCCCTGAAGTACATCGTAAAACCAAATTACAGCGCTATGCCCCATGGAATCTCGCACGGATTTCTCAACGCCATGCCCGAGACGATGATTTATTCCAATACCGCTACGGTGTAACCAAAGGACCAGGCGCATACGTATATGTCCTTGATACTGGCATTAATATCTTGCATGCTGAATTCTCTGGTCGAGCTTTATACGGAGAAAACTTTATCCCAGGATCGCCAGACTGCGATGAAAATGGCCATGGCACTCACATGGCAGGAATTATTGGAGGGAAGACATTCGGTGTGGCTAAGAATTGCACTTTAATTTCGGTCAAGACACAACACAAACATGGTCAGGGCAAAATGTCAGATATGGCAAAGGGCATACACTGGGTTATCCAAGACGCCGCCAGGAGAGGTGTTTCTGACAGGAGTGTCATAAACATATCTATATCAGGTAAATACAATCCCAGTGTCAACGATGCCGTAAAGAAGGCTACAGATGCTGGTATCACGGTGGTTGTCTCAGCAGGCAATAATGCAAGGTTTGCTTGTGACTACTCCCCTGCCTCGGCCATTACTGCCATCACAGTCGCTGGTATTGGTCTCGATGACTGCCGCCGTCTTTTGTCAAACTACGGCCCCTGTGTTGATATTTTTGCTCCGGGTGATAGCATCCCTACCGCCTCGATTTCAGTTGGTGGTGAACAAGAATATAGTTTTGGTACGAGTGCGGCAGCGGCGCATGTGTCGGGTCTAGCTGCGTACTTTATATCCAGCGAGAACCTGAGGGGATTTAAGGCTGTGAGATCGCGAATTCTTAGTGCAGCCTCGAAAGGCGTAGTCAAAGATACGCGGTGCAGTAGTAACCGTCTTGCATTTAACGGTGTGTCAAGAAATTGAATCCTTTTTATAACGTCAATAGGAGTTTAATAGTCAACGGCTTATGTCCCTGATATCTTTATATAAACCTAGATGAGTGATCCTGAGAGATGTACAACACTTTTCTCATCCACTCTATATACTCAGTCTGCGCTTGGTGTTGTTACTCTGCCATCCCTTTGCTCTCTCAAATCCATTTTTACCCTCGTAGAAATCTTTGAAAGCCTGACGAATGCCTTCAGCACTAGTTGAAACGAATGGCCCATGCTGAACGATCGGTTGGTCAAGGATCTGGCCGGCGATTAAGAGAAGGCGAGCGCTGTAGCCTTGGCTCTCAGCAACCTGGATAGAAACGGCGTCTCCTCCTGGTTTATATAACCGTACCATGCACATCCACCCTTGTCAAAGCTCCAGACGGAGATACAAAATCAGCAGAACCATCAAAGACAAAAGAGAATGCATTCCAATCCTTAGGTAGGGGTTGGACTAGCGAGCCACCTGGGTGAATCTCAACATCTAGATACCACACAGGGGTATATGACAAGTCTTTGACGCCATCGACATCACCGACCTTGCCTGATATGACTTTGATAAGAACCTTGCCGTCGTCTAGATGCACAATCGGGATTTCGCTGGCTCTCAGATCTCGATATCTGGGCTCACACATCTTGAGATGTTCTGGGAGGTCAACCCACAACTGTAAGCCAGCACTTTGGTTTCCATCAGGGCTTTCGACCGGCTGTTCGGAATGCATAATGCCTCTACCCGCAGTCATAAACTGCAAGTCTCCAGCATTCAAAATGCCCCTGTTCCCAGCAAAATCCTCGTGCTCAATAGCGCCCTTGAGGATGTAGGTCACTGTTTCTTGACCTCGGTGGGGGTGATCGGGAAAACCTGCACCATTACCGCTCTTCATGTAGTCCAGCATGAGAAATGGTGAGAAGTTGCGCTGTTGTTCGCTGCCAATGGAGCGTCGTACTCTAGCTCCCGCACCTTCGGCCTGTTCGATGGCGGTGAAAACTTTACTAATCGCTCTTAGTTCCGGCATGGTCGATAGCTGGCTGTGATGAGGAGATCGTATTGGTTATTAACTTATGTGTTAATAATATATAAGTCTTTGTGGGCGGGGCCGAGTCTTGTTCAGCAACTTCGATAAATTAGAATAAGACTTGCCCAGGCGATGATGTATATATATGTGCGTGGGCACATACTCAGGCTAGAACTAGAATCAAGTGATTCTGATTGTTAATGCTTACGAGATTTAGGTGGGGCAATCACATATCAGAGTCGGCTGAATCATAGAGGCCTGACATGTCATGTTAAACGATATAAGCAAACTCGGACATCTGCTACGCAGTAGAGTTCTGCTCGCCATGAATGTCAGTCATTAGATCTGAGATTTGATGCTGGAGTAGAGATAATCTCCTTCCAGGCTTTACATAATTACCGTGCAATTCTTATACTCACAACGTGGATTGGTGCGAATGGGCAGCTGAGTACAAGGTGGCATTACAAATTAACCGCGCGGGAAATCCACTAAGCAAGAGCAGTATGATAAATAGAGTTATAGACTTTATAAGGCAATAGGCTGCATCTAAGGGATGATCTAGAGTCGCCTGGGCAGCATTAACAAGGGGAATTTGCATAAATTTAACATCAAGGATCTTAGTCTTCCAGTCTATACGAAGTTATATCCGCCAGCTCAGATCAGCAACACTAAACCAGTCTGCAGGTGAATAGGAGGAAGGACTTCAGGAGGTATTAGGTTGAATAGCGCTACTCATAGCAAGTCTTAATTTCTCCCTGTCGATCACTTACTTATAAAAGACTTTTGCACTCTTAATATGGTTGTCATAAAGTACCTTACCTAGGACGAAGACTGCTAGCCATTCTAGTTCTCTGCCTGTTCTGACCGCCTACTCAATCGTCGCCCCCATCTCAGTCCAGACTCTTGCGATATCGCACTATCAATGTCAACCTCTACCAAAAATGTCATACAATCAATTTCCCAACAGAAGACGAGTAATACAAGCATGTGTCAACTGCCGTATGCGCAAGACGCGCTGTGACGCTGCTCAGCCAAGATGCGGCCTCTGCACTTCACAGAACGTCGATTGCGTCTACCGAGATGCGAAACAGCCCAAGATTGACTATAACACTCAAGTCCTCCTGGAGCGGATGCAACTTCTAGAAGATCGCATCTTGTCGTCAAATTCAACATCACAGAGTCACAGAGCTCCGCCGGAAGCGTCACCTATGAGCCATCATGATCCACAACCTGACTCAATCACTGAGGGCCGTGAACCCGTCTTTGAAGTTCAAATACCGTTAGTCGCATACGGCCAACGCCAATCACGTTTTCTCATGGAGCTTGGTCCAGAAACTTCTGGAAAAGGATGGCACAGACGAACAGAACTTGTCGAGCTATGCAGATGCAACCGAAGTCTTCTTCCAAGAGCAGCAGAACGGCAAACATCCTTCAACAACGTCGCAGCCTCTTTCCTCGTGGAAGCTCTAGGAGAGCTCATACTTTACTTTATTTCGCGATGATCGGATAGCACGGCTACACGACCTGATTCACCTATACTTTACAAAGGTCAACATTTTCTTCCCTCTGCTGTCAAAGAGCAATATCCTAAAGATCTTCGAGATGGTAACAGCGAGGGAAGTATATTGAACTGACGAGACATCAATGGTTGATATGCCGAAATATGGGCTGCTTCTTGTGGTCCTTTGTCTGGCATTGTTGAGTTCGAGCGGACAATCTGACATATCCATCGAAAAGAGCCCTTTCTCGGACAGCTCGAACAGTCCTGAGGATCAGCTGAGAAGCGATCTATGGAGCAAGGCGAGATTGATACTGGGCTATGTATCGACTGATATGTCATTAGAAGCTGCCCAGGCTAGTATGCTCGCAAGGTGAGTTATCAATCCACACCTGGTAGAGCTAACTAACAGCTCAGCATCTACATGGGTGCATCAGGTGCAGTAGCAGAAGCTTTTCACTGGGCACACGCAACGGCCGTCAAGTGCGAGACCATGGCTCGATTACAAGCAAAGAGAGATACTATCTCTGGTGGCTTCCGTCGCTTGTACTGGATGTCCTTTATATACGAATGTGATTTCATATCCGAGATATCAATTGTATCGCCATCTGGCATAGCGAGATATGAAGACAAAATCCCATACCCAGCCTTCACTGCAGAAAACCATCCTATCTCGCCAGACTCATCAGAAGCCAGGAGCCAGGAAGAGCTCGTCGCGTTTCAAATAACCACAAACTCAGCTATCAGACGCTTTCTGAACACTGTCAACAGTGTTGTTTACGATGACAAGGAGCAGTTCCGGACAAGACGGTTGAACTACGCATCTTGGCTGCTCAGAATATCGGAAGATCTTTGGTCTCATCACTCTGCCATATACCGCAATCTGCCAGAGTTCCTCCTCAGTAATCCGTCTCAAGATGTACCAATGACAGGGGCTGATACAAGCTCTCCTGCAAGCCTCCAATCGCCAACAGCGCGTATTCAGGGCATACCTATCGGAAATAACTCATGGAATATTTTGAGAATCAAGGGGAGATACTATGCGGGTCAATACATCATTCACAGGCCTTTCATCGAATTCATCGTTCTCAATATCGACAACTTCGAATCGCATCCTTGCAAAGACGCAGTTCTGAAACGATCCAGGTCTTGTTTGGATGGTTGCACAGGTTTCATCAAGGTATTTGATATTCATACGGTAAATAGTTTGACGTGTTTGTTCCCTACTGGGATGGTGTGAGCGATCCTGTCGGTATTGTTTTGAATATTGCTAACCATGTCTGTTTTTGTCAAGCACCTTTACTATGACTGTCATCCTGATGGTGGCGACGATCTTTCCGATATTTAAGGATCTGCTCCCTGAGGATGTGCAGGATGTCATTCTGGCTGGGAGGAGGAACCTCACTCGATTCAGTCGGAGTGTGGCAGAGTTTTCATGGCATGTTGAAATACTAAAGAGGCTTGATGTGGCGCGGAGAAATAGAATGGCAAGACAAGCGGAATGATAAATAACTACTCGAATTGTAATCCTATATCTGAAGTGACTTTGCATGATATAGATATTTCTTGCTTTTTGTGTACTAAGCTCTGTCTGCTGATTTAAGCTCTCAGCCACGAGCCTCAACTGCAAATAACACATCTAGCTAACAAGTAATTACATATGTGTAGCGGCAAGTCTATGCTGCGACAGGTACAGGCTGAGCTTGCGGTTGTTCCTTCTTCAGCTCAGCTTTCAACTTCTCCTCCGGCGACAGCTCAAAAATACCAACACCCGAAACAGATGCCTCCTTAGAAGCCACTTCACTTGCAGTAACTTCTGATTCAATGACCTTTCCTTCCAGCCTCTTATCTCCAGCCTTCATGGGCGCATACGTCTTCAGCAGCTTATTCAACTGTTCCCTCTGCATGCAATTCTCATACTTCCAGCTCGCAGCAAGCTCGTCCAGTTCCTCAAAGCTCTTGTCCTTGAAGTAATCTGCCCACTCGGGGATCATATACTCAGCCATGGTGATGCCTCGAATACCTCGGAAGACGTGCATGTGCATGCGCCATTGCCAGGGGTACTTTTTGGAGTATTGTGCTGGGACGTTGTCTTCGAACCACTGGTGTAGTGGACCGAAGAGGCCGTCTTGGAGATGTGCGTCGTCGTAAGCCCATGAGTCGACGGCGAGATCACGTTTCTTCTTGATGATGGGGCCGAGAAGCTTGAGCCAGGCAGAGTCTGGGGAGACATGGGTCATTTCCATTACGTTGACGTCCTTGTATGCCCAGATCGACCATGCTGTGTTGCGTTAGTGCCATCCATGGAATGGGTGATGGGTAACCTACCAATGCTCTCAGAAGTGTAGATAGCCATCTGCCGATCCAGCATATTGTATCGCTCTTGATTCTGAACTTCCCAGTCTGGGTTGTACTCTTTTCGTTCGTAGATAGGACCGAATTCACCTACAGACAGATGTTATCCAAGGTCATCAGAAAATCCAATGTAACTCACCATTCCAGATTGGCACGTTATGCTTCTTCATGAACTCCACCTTCCGGTCGTACATCCTTCGAATGTAGCTCTCCTGTTCTTTTGTCCCCTGGAATCTACCGAGTCGATTCGGGAACCCAAAACCACAGTAGTCATGGATGGCGTATACCGAGTTGTCCCATACTCTGTCAAAGCCTGTAAAGTCCATGCTGAATCTGTGTCGGGGCCCTCGTCAGTACGTCTGCAGAAGATTGACCCGGGTAGATTGTACTACTCACGTGTTGCCTTCTAAGAATAGGATATGGTCAGGATCGATATTCCTGATTGCCGGCACGATACGGTCGTAGAAGGCCAACAGACGATGCCATTCAGAGTCGGCAGGCTCATTCACGGGATTGTAGCCTGCAACCCATGGATTTCCCTTATATCTTCGGGCGATATGCTCCCACAGATTGATCGCTCGGTCTTGGAAGTGTTTGTGGTCCCAAAAGGCGGCGTATCCGGTCGGGTTATCGCAGTGCCAATCCTGGTTCTGTCCACCAGGTAGGGCGTGGAGGTCGGGAATAGTGTAGATACCATATTTGGCGCACTACGATTCTACGTGAGCAGCTGACAAAAAGTGGAGATGCTTTGACTTACTAGATTGATAACTCGGTCAATGTGCTTGAAACCCTCTTCTTTGATAACAAATGGGTTCATGTCATCTTCAAAGTGTCTGTAATTGAGACATAATCGTAGGCAGTTGAAGTTCAACGAAGCAAGGAACTCGGCATCTTTCTCGCCGAAGAAATATTCAAGGAACTTGTCGAAGAAGAAGTCATGCTTCTCTTGGCCAAGCACCTTGAGAAGCGCTGCTCGGATCTGGTGCTCTCTGCCGGGGAAGCCGTTCATGAAGTTCTCCATGAGCATCCAGCCGCCGAGGGCAGTCTGTAGTGACACTGTTAGAGCATCATGACAGTGAGTATGGCATGTGTATGACAACTTACACCGCGCAATAGGACTGCATCGCCGTTTGCGTCGACGATGCGAGCCAATCATAGCGCTTTGGGGCAGCTAAATTCTATCCCCGATGAGTTGCTGCATGACCCGACACATGGAACGATGCCCACGAGCAATATGCGGAGTTCCCCCAGAAATTTGTATCGACCCCGCAAAGTTTAGCTGCAACGCTATCGAATTGATGGGGTGAATGACACCCGAGTTTTCGGATGCTAACCAGGTGCACTCTAGGGTGGCAGCAATATAGGCAAAAGCCCTCCCGGTTTTTTATCACATCGCAAACACATATATAAGACTACCAACCATGCAAGGTGACTTGCTCTTATCTCCTTCATCAACACCAACATTCTCTTTGGATTGATCTGTCACCATGAACTTTCTCCGCAATCGTCTCCCGGCCCCGAAGCAGGACTTGCTCGCCAAGCAAGCCCGCCAGCAGGGCACCACCGATGCAGCCTACAAGCCCTTGCGCATATCTGAGCTCTTGAAGGAGTCTCCGAGCTGGTACAAGTCAGCTGCGCGGCGACATCTCTACTTCCTGCTCTTCCCAGCATGTGTTGTGTCATACGCAACGTCTGGGTATGACGGAAGTATGATGAACTCTCTGCAGACTGTCTCCTACTGGGATGACTTTTTTGCCAACCCTCGGGGATCTCAGCTTGGACTCATGAGCGCTATCATGTCGCTTGGCAGCATCTGTTCCACGCCTGTTGCGCCGTTTGTTGCTGATAAATATGGCAGACGGTGAGGTATCATTACAGGAAGCATAATCATGATTGCTGGTGCTATTCTGCAGTGCGAGAGTACCAACTTTGCCATGTTTGTTATCAGCCGTTTCATTCTGGGGTTTGGACTATCTTTTGCTACGTCTGCATCTCCTAGCATGGTCAGTGAGCTGTCTCACCCCAAGGATAGAGTCACTATTACAGCTATCTGCAACACTTGGTAAGCCAATCTTTTCTACTTATCCGTTGTGTTTGCTGACTTGTCCAGTTGGTTCCTGGGCTCCATCGCAGCTGCTTGGATCACCTACGGCACCCGAGTGATCCCCAGTACTTGGTCATGGAGAATCCCCTCCTTGCTTCAGATGGCACCCAGTATCATTCAGCTATCAACTGTCTGGTTCCTTCCCGAGTCCCCACGGTGGCTCATTTCGAACAATCGCAGTGAAGAGGCCCTCGAAGCACTTACAAGATACCACGGAGAGGGAGTTAAGACGGAACTAGTAGAGCTTGAATACGAAGAGATCCGAGCCGCAATCGAGCAAGAAAAGTGTAGGTCGTTCGCTGCCGCTTTGTCATACTTTACTGACTCTCTACAGTGTCTGGTCAAACTACTTGGAAGTCTATGGTCAGCACTAAGGGTAACCGCTACAGGATGTTCCTCGTCATCTGCATGGGTCTAATGTCACAATGGTCTGGAAATGGACTGATCTCTTACTGTAAGTCGGCTCCATTAGTCACAGTCCGACGGTCCGATGACTAACTTGATGACTCTACAGATCTCTCTCGCGTCATGGACAGTGTCGGCATCACCAACAAGAAAACACAAGCCCTGGTCAACGGCCTCATCAACATTTGGAATTGGGCCCTCGCTCTCACTAGCGCCTGCTTCGTCGATCGCGTCGGTCGCCGTCCTCTCTTCCGAATCTCTACAATCGGCATGTTGCTAGTCTTCACAGGGTGGACCATCGCTTCGGAACGCTTTGCTGCCACGGAGGCCAAGTCTGTTGGCGTTGCGGTGATGGCACTCATCTTCGTGTACGAGATCTTCTACTGCATGGCTTTCTCGCCCCTCCCTGTAGCATACTCGGTTGAGGTTCTGCCGTACTCAATCCGTGCCAAAGGAATGGGCTTGTATGTCCTTTCAATGAAATGTGCTGTTTTCGTCAACCAGTATGTCAATCCTGTTGGACTGGATAGCATTGGTTGGCGGTACTACCTCGTTTACGTTGCTGTCCTCATTGTTGAAAGTTTCATTGCCTACGGGTGGTTCCTCGAAACAAAGGGTAAAGCCTTGGAGGAGATTGCTGTCATTTTTGACGGCGAAGCTGCCGATGTCACTGTTGACGAGCCTGTCAAGTCCAAGGTTTTTAGTACTGAGATGCCCACGACTCTTGAGCAGAAGAATGTCGACCGCAAGGTCTAGGACCAAAACAATCAATTAGACTACCCAATGTGATTTAATTCCTTTCGTTGTCACTTGGTCCCGAATTATATAAAGCCAATAATGATCTTTATTGGCTGTTACATCTTGTTCATCTAGACTATGACTTTCTCCTCTCAACACTGCCGAAGCGATAGCCTTGAAACTGTCGCGATATAGCCTTAAGATTATTTTTGAAGAACTTATCACGATTTGGCTTCATTTCAGCTCTGAATGATAGCCAAGTAAATTGTCAAAGAAAGTCGAAGGATTCTGGCTTGTCTTGTCTGCTCTGCTGTCTCAGATGTGGTGTTCTGATTGGCCCTAGCATTCATATGGCACGTGCACGGTCTACCGCCTCATTGTCGTACCTCTTCGTCTCCCGTCCAACCTCGAGATATCTTGTCCCTCCATGTCGCACCTCACATTACAACAATGACATAGAAGGTCAACAGCTTTCCTAGCGCCGGCGTATTATTTCCACAGCTTACCAAACAGACAGACAAGGCGCTATAATGGACGCCTCTGAGCTGCTGACTCTCCCCTCGGTGTACCAGAGCGGCTCCGCACGCCTTCTCACAGGAGACCTGGTCGTACACGACATTGAGCGATGGTGTCATCGAAAAGCCGACAGAAGTGGCCTCAAGCCAGTCATGGCTGTTTTATTTTTCAACACGGGGCCTGATGCAGTGGACTATGTCAAGATCAAGGCTCACGTTGCTGCACGGGTAAGTCATCGATTTCCCCCAGGCCGGAACGAGGACATTAGCTGCGATATGGCATAGAAGGTTCCTCGTGGCTATCTTGCAGAGCTTAATTAACCCACTTCGGAATAGGCCGGCGTTGACTATTGGGTATATGAGATGCCCGTCGACGCGTCAACAATAGAAGTCATGAGCCAAGTCAAGAAGCTAAACATGAACCCTCAAATCCACGGCATCCTCATACAGCGCCCGCTGCCTGAACAGTTAAATGAAGCAAAGATCATGGGATATATTGATCCTGTCAAAAACATTGAAGAATACGACAAAGGCCAGGTAGACAATATTGCTGCGGACGCCTTGATTCGCTTGTTGGCCAGGTATGGGCTGCTAGAGTCGGCACAGCAGGCCAAAATCCAGATTGCTGGTTTCGGGAACATCATCACCAAAGAGTTCATCAACCAGATGAAGCGCCAATTCCCCTACGTGAGCGTATCTAAAGATTTCGATCTTACCCATGAAGATAAACACGAAGCTCTACACGAGGAAATTCAGGCACCACGCGAAACCATGATTATCTCGGAACTGCATCGCGGACCCGCTTTTATCAAAGAATCTATGGTCAAGCCTGAAGTGAGTGTCTTGGTCGATCTTGGCTTCTACGTTACAGAAAAGGGCGTCATCGGCGATGTGAGCCACGCTTTATTTGATAGAAGTCATCTGTCAATCGCTCCGACGCCAGGAGGAGTTCTTCCTATCTTGTTATGGATTATGATGGAGCGGACGATCAAGGCCAGGCAGATGATTGCGAAGGTAGAGCAGCGAGGGTGTTGTTTAACGATGTGAGATTAGCAGAGATGGCTTTGCTAATCTCTGTAGTGATATGAGTTCTGAGCCTGATATTACCATAGTACATGTTGCATCTTAAACCTCCATTCTCTGCCTCAATATAAGAGAGAAACTCATAGGTACTTCAGTGAAGGCCAAGATGGACTTTCTCCTGATAATATCTACTGTAGTTAGTATATTTTGACTTACTTCTATCATCTATGACTCAACTGCACTACGTCTTATCGGGCGCGAAGCCATGGTTGTGCAGATCGTCTCACCTTCAGCCTAATCAGGCACTGGCCGCAGTGAACGAGTCAGCGGGGTCATGGCTTACCCGTTCACTCACTTCTCTACATTTCATTCAATACCATCGCTGTGTGTCGCGTCCTGAAAAACCGGCATGAATCGTGAAAAGGAGAACAGTTACACAAGTACCTCCGATATTGACGACGACAGTCTCAAATGTCCAAACCCCACTACGAGTCAAGAAGCCGAAAGTCGACGTACCCAGACCGAGAGTAAGCCCGCACGTTGGTGGGAGGGTCTCTGCCCATCATCCTCGAAATCCACGATATCTCTAGAGCCACTGATTTCAGGAGAAGAGGATCCTCTACAATTGACCAGCTATCCTGCCGAGGCGGAAGCGCGGACCCGTGCCATTGACAGATATCTCGCTGCCGAGTCCCAGCGAAGCAAACGGCAACTAAAGATCATTCTTTTCGGCGACGAGCACGAGAAGAGTCTTTTCCTGAAACAGACTCGTCTTCTTGAGCTCCCGCTTTCCAATGACGAACGGGCAAATGTTAGGGTTGAGGCGAGGCGCTTTGTCGCGTCGATGTGCCGGGAATGCTTGCAGATTGTCGATGAATATGCTTGTAAACCAGAATCGATCAATGCTCATGCAGTTCTGGGGCGTGTCAAGGACATTGTGTCGCGCGAAGTACCCGGTGATCAAGAAACGGTTAAAAGCATGATCAGCCTGTATTGCGATAATGAACTGCGGCTCGCGCTTAAGCAGTCTGGCCATAACCTCGAAGACATCGAGCGACGATTCTTGTTTGACCGCTTTCCGCATATCCTCACCTGCCCATGCACTTCAAATGGCAATCTGAGCAATCTCTTGAAGCGAGTCTTTGCCACAGAGTATGCCCCTACAGAACATGACTGGTTTCACTTCGACCAGCGCCGTTTGGGGCAAGTTGTCCAAGAGGCTCTTGTCCATCGAGATAGCCACACGCTACAACTGTTACAAATCACGGATCGGTCAACACAGAGGCGAAAATGGATTCACATTCTGGTGGATGACGCGGCCTGTCTTGTTTTTATCTGTAACATGGCCGTGTATGACCAGAGCCTACTAGAAGACGAGACCACAAGCAGACTTCACGAAGATCTCATGCTGTTTGACTCGCTTGCCAACTCAAGGTGGTTTACGCAAACGCCATTCTTCGTGATTTTATCAAATGCTTCAGCGTTTAGAAGTAAAATTCTGCAGTCACCGCTGTCAAAATGGTTTCCCCAGTTTGAGGGAGGCAGTGACGGAGATGCAGCGCTCGAGTTTATGAAAGACCAGTTCCGGGAACTTGCGAAATCTGAGCAGAATGTGTATATACATATTGCAGATATTCATAGCGCAGATGGCGTGATGGGTGCCATTGAGACTATGGAAAATACGCAGCTTAGTCAGGTCTTGAAGGAGCTTGGCATGACTCCTGTTAAGTGTAAAAGTAGCTAAGAAGCTTTAAGCCTAGACAGTGCAATGAATAAGACTCATGTTTTCATAAAGGCGATCCGCTTTGGATCTTTATTTGCAACGCCAACAGGATACCTATGGTAATCTTCTCAACTATTTACGTCGTGTCTAAAATACACTACTCAATCTTAACTACAACCTTGCTAAAATGCTTCTGGTCTACCAGATACTGGTACGCACTTGGATCGGTTAGCCAGTGTTTCAAGTCGTGATGGTATATAGTTGGCTTACTCCTTGAGCTCCTCGAGCTTGAAGACCTGTTGGTCGAGAACGGGCTTGATATCAGAAGCCTCAATGGCGCGAACCTTGTCAAGTTAGTAACCATTTAAATGAAGAGCTGCGAAAGGCCCAGTGAGGAAAGCCACTATCAAAAAACGTACCATTGCGTCGAATTGATCGCGGCTCCCGACGACGATTCCCCTGACGACAGCCATGCTGGACAGGATCTGAGGGAAGCTCGGTCCGGTCTCTCCGTGACCAGCAATCCATCCAATAATGGTGACAAAGCCACCGATGTTTACAGCTTTGAGACTTTCTGTGATAGTGTGCGAGCCCCCAACCTCAAGGACATGGTCAACACCGCCTCCAGTGAGCCTCTTGGCCTCCTCTCCCCAGTTCGGAATCTCCTTGTAGTTAATGACATGATCAGCTCCCAGCTCCTTTAGCCTCTGAGCCTTGGCCGCTGAAGAAGTAGTAGCAACAACTCGAGCACCCGCAGCCTTTGCGAATTGCAGAGCAGAGATGCTGACACCACCAGTGCCCTGTGTCAAGACCCAGTCGCCGGGAAGGACTGGCTTCAGACCGTAAAGGCCATTCCACGCTGTGAGGGCGCTACAGGGCAGTGTTGCAGCCTCCAGATAACTGAGGTTCTTTGGCATACCGACAAGTCCATTCTCGTTAAAGACACCGTACTCTCGTAGAGTGCCATCAACAGAGCCACCGACCGCCGATCCCAAGGCCATCGGGGTTAGCGGTCCACCATAATACGTTTGCATAAACAACGTCATAACCTTGGAACCTTGCTGGAAGCGGGTGACCTTGCTTCCAACAGCCACGACTTCTCCAGCACCATCGGAGCCTGGAATGATGTTTGGCTTGACATCGAAGGGATAAGTGCCCTGAGCGAGTTAGTCAGGCTGATCATGGTAGATAGTGCATATTTACCTGGGCGATCATGATATCGCGGAAGTTGAGAGAGGCTGCATGAAACTTGACCAGCACTTCATTGTCGGAGAGCTCAGGGAGAGGCTGTTGGGTGTCAAACTTGAGGTTGTCAAAGCTGCCCTGGCCGACGACCGCCCAGCCCTTTGTAGTTTTTGGCAAAGACATGATAGATAGAGCAAAGTGGTGATTTATGGTAGTAGTGATGTGAAGAAAGTTGATGTAGTTATTGCTTGATGGGACAGTCAAAACTTGGGTTGATTGCATGGTTTTATACTTCAGGAAATAGACTTCTGCCACCCTTGCGTTTATGATAGAGACGTCAACTACTCGACCTGGATCATGCTGCTGACCAATTCACATAGGAATGTCAGAGTTCCAACCAATTCCATAATGAAATGTCAGGAAGGGGACAACTCAAGTCGCAAACTGACACGGAGAGACTGAGAATACCGATATTCGTTATTGGCTACAGATAGTGGATCACCGTATTGATACGGTAGCGCGGTCAAGCTATGTGGGGCCGGCTCAAGGGAGCACCGGCGCTAATAAACCTGGTCTTCTCGGCACGATATCAGGTGTTGGGCTAAACCCGCTCCGGCCGATGTTGAAGCTGGATCAGGTCAACCTGACTACTGCTTTCTATTAAAGAACACCGAAATCTTTTGTAGCAAGACTATCAATAGCAAGATTTCCCCCAAAGACGATACTTGCAGGCCATTTCATAATGTATTCCCACTCATTTCCAAGAAAGCCGATAATATAGCTCAGCAAACCAGCCGGCCAGGGACTCAGACACCAATGCTCCCGATTATAGTTCATCAAAACAGCAAAGTGACCTAAAATAACAAGCGCTGCGGGGTGGCGAGCTGAGCACAGATCCAGAAAGATCTGGCTTACCTCCAGTCCCCAACCCCAAACTATCTTGGCAGGCTCGGGGTCGCCAATGTTGTCTGACAGCGTTGCAATGCGGCGGAAGAGTGCTTTCACGGCATCAAGGCATGCTTTCTTGCGAACACCTTCCACCTGACTATTTATGCACCTTTGTAGAAACTCAAGCTGTGGATATCTTGTTTCAAGATCGTTCCCAGTGCCTTGGTGATGGGCAACGAATTTGGTCAGAAGCCATGATCCCGAGACGACAACTGGGGGGAAGCTCTGCTGTACAAACATAATTGTAGACCTACTGAAGCGAAGTGCTTTCAGAAGCTCCTCGACCGGGTCGAACGGTGACTCAGAGCATATGCCATTTGGGCGATAAATTGGTTCCGCTACGGCATACATTGACATGAAAGCGGAAAACCCCAGCAGAGCTTGTTCATGCGCCTGAGTTAAGGATTCAAAATGCGGCCGCGCTCGAGTAATTGCAGTTTGTTGATGCGCAACCGCTCTGACGTACCATTTGGACTGAGAGCGATCTTCACTGTAGAGCTGAAGGGCGGTGAGGCCCAGAATACTATTCAGCAAATAGTGGTGAGAGAAGCCCAAGCGAACAAGGTCGTGTTGCAGCTGCCTTGTAGTCTCGGTCATGTCGCCCGTCACAGGATATCGGTGCCAGTGCTCCAGCAACTCCAGATCAGCTAGGCTGTCTTCGTTCAGTGGTGGCTTGGTCAGCGTGGGGGACGAGAAGCTGCACGCGAGGTTGGCCCGCTCGCATTGAAGGCATCGCGGATGCACCTCGTTGCACTAGGAAGGTTAGCTGCGGGTTCTCTCCCCTTGACAGAGAGTATATTCACCTTAGCGTGTTTCTCCTTGCATTGTATACAACCCTCTCGGGACTTTCTGTGACCTTTCCGCTTTCTAATCATGTTTAAAATGCCCCGTTTTTGTCTAAAATACGTTGGCGTCACATGGGGTCTGGGCGCCGTATAAATACGGCGATTAAAGTTTATGCGCTAATCTCAGATCGCTGACAAATTAACCTCCGTCGCGCCCACAAGGCCCACAGCAACGGACAGACGGGTTTCAACAGGGGCATTTCATTGGCTGTTCAATATGACAGCCTACCCTGCACCAATACCTGCGATGTTGAGTAGATAATATAGTTCTATCAAGAGACTGACATTCTCTGGCTCTTTCACACATCTCTTGATTTACATTTTATGCTTAGTGTAATATTTGTTTGTGCATTTTACTAAGTTCTATCTGGTGATTTAAACTCTTAGCCACAAGCCTTAACTGTAAGCATTTCATTACAATGCATTTTACTTCCATGTCGTATTCAATTTATCTATCAGCCGATATACAGGCCATCCAATGCTCTTCCCAAAGCTATCAATAAAATCAAGCACTTCTTGCCGTTCCACAGGATTAGTCAGTAAACAACCACCTAGACTGTCAATGGCCATTTCTGTGAATAGAAGTTTAGAACTCACAAGCGAAAAGCATATGATGGACGGTAAATCCAGCACCAACTACAGAAGGATTGTGGATGCCGAGACCGACTGCGATATGAAGGTCATTCAAAGCCGCTTTCTAGTTTCTCAACTTCAGCAAATAGGCTTCAATGGAAATGGCTGACATACATCTGCAGCTACCCGATGCTCGATGGTTCTCAAACTGGACACCCATTGTCTGGGCTCAGAGATATGTAGCAGAATGCGAGCTAGACAGTAGTGCTGATATCCCATAACTGAAATAGCATAAGTTATGTTTCACAGTGAGGAATCATGTAATGCACTTACCTTGAGCAGGATTCATCATCCATACTACAGGAAAAGCCGACTTAAATCCAGCAGAAGTATTTTCCCTGCCAGAGTGGTAAGGATGATAGTGCGCTGGTATTGAATCATGCCATAGCGCAACTTCTTTACCGAGATGCGCCCACGTTTCGTAGTCGGGCTGTGCGCCTGGGCCAAAACAAGTCTCCAATACCTGGCAGCAGAGTAGAATAATCCGATTGGCAAAGTCCTCATCAGTCGTGTCTATAAATGATATCGAACGTCTGTATTTGTTCAGATCTACTTGCATCGGTTCGCCTTTGATCAGAGATATGTGCAGGTTCTGTCTGAGCAGAATCCAGCTGGCCGCTTCGCTCAGACCGCTTTCAGCTATGAAGTCGGGGATGTTATTCCATAGCTGCGCGCATCCAACGAGATGGGTTCCAGTATCAACATCTTTAGAATTGTTAATGCGCAAGCTATGGTGATGATGAAGACAGTCTTACCACACATTTCCTCGTATAAACGTAGCAGGACTGCTGCTGCTAAAAGGTTTTCGTCCAGAGAAGACATAGGGTCATCAAGAATGGGGATCAAAATGCGCAGCGCATGGCTATGATACTCTTCGCTACTTTCATCGTCAATACCAGTGATCATGACCTGATGACGTGATGAGAAAGTTAGAATGGAGTATGCTAGGAGGGGTAGTTGGCGAGCCCTTTTTGGCACTTCGCGACCAAAGCGCTTCGACGGGTCACATCTATCAATCTGGCAACAAACAGGATATTAGAGACACGGCGCTATAAGGATGACGATAGCTCACTCGTGGTGAAAGATCTTGCAGGTAATTCATTAGAAGGAACGCCTCTCGTCGAGTTTTGATCGGAGACGTCAAGACACTTGGGCTGCTAATAAGATAGTTGGATAGGCAGGATGCTGGGGAAGACAGCCTTGCGATACATCAGCTCGCGACCAATATTTAATTCTCACGAGAAGACTTACTGTATATCATCGCTTGAATTGTGTTTTGGGGAGCGATCTGCAAGGAATAAAGACGGCGGCATGACCGCATCGTGGATAGGTGATTCCGCCATCGTGAGATGAGAGCTGATGAGGGAAGACAACACTAGACCGTGGAAACAGCCTGGGAGGTGACAGATGAGGCGACAGTACTACCATTAGGTAAGTCACAAATTTACTAGGCAATCGCCTTGCCCAGCATACATCACGAGTTAAAACTACAATATTTGGACACAACCAACTGACATACGTTTATTGTGTATTGCAGCAAGAAACGTTCACTCCTCGCCACGTAACTTATCACTTAATGTTTACCGTGGACAGGCTGATGAGATCCAACGCAAGCGTTAAATATCTTGAGACAAACGAATCCCCGCATTCTCCATGGGATAATGAATGAGTAGGATAGAGTTCGGCTTTTGCTCTGGTTCTTGGAGCAAGTGGCGGATTCCCCGCAGACAGTAGCTCAATCTGGTGTATTTGTTCCGGAGCTAACCCTGCTGTAGGAGAGCTAGTCTCGGAACAAGTATCCCAATTATGGATTTTGCTATGACAGTGACGTCTACTTCTGATCCACTTGGGCCCGGAATCACCTACCTACCGAACCAAATCGAGGTATAAGTCTCCCGACCCCAGGTTGTACCTTGTGCCCCGCTACCGCATCAACTCATGAAATTCGGTAGTCCCTGTGGGTACACGCTAGGCAAAGCCACTTCATTTATTTAACCAATAAGGCTATTTAACTAGCTATTAGATCTTTATTGATATCCTGACTAATTAGATAGCTTATATAGGGCTAGTAAGTACCTACAGGGACTACCGAATTTCATGAGTTGATGCGGTATTTCCATGTTGCTTTTTTGCTTGCTTTCCTCGACGCTTACACGCATAACACGATATGGGACGGACTGGGCAAAGAATCTCGGGTTGTAAGGTAAGTCGATGTATATGCTTCTTGTTTATCGCTATCTGACTGATCTTTGTAGAATTGCCGTTTAAAGTGAGCTACGTCATACAGGTGAATCGATTATGGCTAAATTTCGGCGGGTTATGTTAGACATCTGAAATGTAACCCCCTGTCTCTCAATCCAGCTGCTGGACAAATATGCTGACAAGACCTCTACGCTATAGGCGACGATGAAGAGCCGTGTGCTCAGTGTATAACGAGAGACCTCCATCGTGACAGAAGCTTCGAATGCCGATTTCGCCATAGCAGGCTTGGCTCAACGTAAGCATTCTCAATGTCCCAATAACGCAACCGGAGGACTAAGAAAGGCCAAGCACACGAAAAAGAGGCCTGGAATTTCCATCTAATCAACGGTGGTGTAAGCTTGACAAGAAAAAGATCGAATTTGTGGATCAGACGTTGGACATTGTGCGATCGTTTAACTCGTTTTCAGACCACCACAGCTCTTCGGAAGACCAGCCTTTGGACTTCCTAGAAAGACAAGACGAAGAAAACACACCTCTCCCTGCCGATAGTCAACATGGGGTCGACGGTGGTGAACAGCGTCTGAACAGCTCGATTTACTCGCCTACGGATAGTCAACCACAGGCGTCAAGTAACCTGGATAGCGCCACTTCGACATTTCATCATAATTCCAATCAATTACCCGAGCTGGGGCTTCATCACTACACATCGATAGCGACTGAGCAGATTGATATAGAATTAAATGGCACTGAATATCCGGCACAGGGAACCTATGCTTCATACGGCGATAAATATCAGCTACGTCTACCCACTTGCTTACTCAAACAGGGTGAGGCAGAGTTGGTTCGTCACTTCTTTTCAGGTTTCAGTGATGCTTTCGAGCTTGGGGATCCAGATCGGTCTTTCTCCAGTTGGTTATCGACTCGAGTCTTACAACATCCTCGACTTCTCGATTCTATCTTGACCATTGCCTCGAGACACCTTGGCAAGGGGAAAACTAGTACCCCTTTCCTGGCTTCAACACCTGAAACATCCTCTGATTACACTCGAAGTTTACCCAGCGTCAGTCTAGATATTGACTCCACGCAAAAGGCCCATTCTGTTGCAAACCTGTTATCACGGTTCGCGCATAGTATGGAAGGTAAGTGTCTTTATCATCAATATCTCTTATCTTCCCCCCCCCCCCCCATTTTCACTGATCGCTCGACACGCAGGCACAGGTGAATGTTCGATCTTCCCTTCCTTCCTTGGTCAAGCGTGTATAATGGACGCATCGACAGAATCAGTCAAGGAGGAGGATCTACCTGAAGCCGCCTTGTGGGCTAATCTACGACTCGAAACCTACCTAGCAGTGGTCACCCAAGCACCCCTCCCACCAAACTTACAATGGCTGTGCGCAGACAGAATCGGTGCCTCCGTCGATGATAAAGACTGGGCAAACCTAATGCTTCTTCACCTGACCAAAATCATCCGATACTGCTTCTCAGATAACAAAGACGCCGAGCATTATGCTACGCTGCTGAAAGATTCTTCCATTTGGTTTGATTCAAAACCAGACTCGTTCGATCCCATATACACATGCAATCACTCTGACGACCAGGTACTTCCGGACATATGGCTGTACAGTGAGCCGGTGGCTGCTGGCTTGCAATACTACCATCTGGGCAGGATGCTTCTTATTTCCCACGATCCGCGTCTGCCAAAAATAGGACTCGCAAAGAACAGAGCAATGAAGCGAATAGAGGTACAGCAGCAAAATGCTACTTAGGAATAATTGTTTAATGCTGAATAGCTCGAAATGAAGACAGACACTAAGATAGTCTGCGTAATAGCTGTAGGCATGGGCGAGGCTAGTCCAACATACCTGTGCGTCTATGTTATGGGCCCCGAGCTAAGGGGATTTTGCTAATGTGTATCAAGGACTGCATGTATGGCTATAGCCTTGGTTGGAGACCTTTTCGACGAACGCGCTGAACAAGATACCCTCCTTTGTGTTGTAACTAACGCAACTGACCGGTTTGGTTGGCCTACTTCTTACATGTAAAGTTGACTAATGTATTATCTTACAAGCTTGAAGCTGATTATCTATGGCAAGGATAGTTTAAAGAAGACTTGGGGATGGCTTTAGCTAGGCCAAGATAATAGTTGTAAAGTAGGATGATTATAATTCTGTACTATATATTTCTAAGCTGTCCGTACGTTCAAGAGTTTCGAGAGTAATTGTCAATACGTACAAACTTTAAATCAGGGGATATATAATAGCAAATCCACCGGAGGAGAACTAAAAACTCACATGGTAAATAATTAAATCTCTGACATGGCATCTATGATATCCTAGAACATCATTAATCTCCACTCGCGTTAAAGCTTGAGACCTAAACACAATGACAACAGATGCAGCACGAAATCGGGCTATTTGTTCCGGCAATAAACGAGATGGTCTCCACTAGGGTCGGAACAAAAACACCAAAACGAGAAGGATCGTAAACGTCAACGCCAAATTCCCCGCCATTTACCGTCCACATGTTCTAGGCCAAGCCACCAGTTGAAGCACGCTCATCACGTAACAAGCTGACCCTTGCCTTAGCAATTGATTCAGGAAAACAACTCCGGCAGAGGCCAAGCCCACCTTTGGCTTGCAAAACATGGAGCCGACGGCAGTCGCGAGGTTCGGTTTTCTGGGGAAGACAGTTTCTTGAATCGAGATTTCGTGCACAATTCCCAGTTCCCTGCTAACTTACCCCAACTTTTGAAGTGATCTGCCCCCGGGAAACAAGGTTTCTCGGGATCGTGAGAGTGGACCAGGCCAATGAGACAACATGTAATTGTCGCATGAATCGTTTAGCCTCATTGGAGTATAGGTATATACAGCGCTGCGCTCCTTTTATGTATTGCCATTTTCCTCACAACAAGCTCGCTCAGCTAAATCACAATATTCGTCTCTTTTTTACCCAGTCTTCCATCTTGACGAAATGTCTTCTCACGGTGATCACAAGTCCTCTACTGAGGGCGGTGGCATAGAAAAGTCAACGGCCACCAATATCGAACACCTTGAAAAGTCCCATGGCACCGTTGTAGAGTTTGACGACTCCATCGAAGACACCAAGCCATCCAAGTCCGTTTGGCTCATCACATTCACCGTCGCCATGGGCGGCTTCTTGTTCGGTACGTTGCCTAAATACGTCTCCGCCGAACTCGCCTAACAGGATCTCCTAGGTTACGACACTGGTGTCATCTCAGCTGTTCTCGTCACCATCGGCGACGATCTCGGCCACAATCTTGATTCCCATGAGCAGGAGCTTATCACCTCCATCACTTCTGGTGGCGCTCTCATTGGTGCACTGATGGCAGGACTTCCAGCTGACAAATACGGCCGCAAGCTTGGAATCTATATCGGTTGTTTTCTCTTCCTCGTTGGGTCTGTTATCCAAGCCGCTGCCTTCAATATTGCCGCCATGACTGCTGGACGTCTAATTGTGGGATTTGGCGTGGGTTCGGCGGCGATGATTATTGTAAGACCCTGATTCTGCTGAGAGTTGTCTTGAACCAAACCGCTAACGTATTCAGCCTCTCTATATTGGAGAGCTTGCCCCAGCCAGATACCGCGGACGCATGATTGCCTTTGACAATCTCAGTGTGACACTAGGTCAATTGGTGTCCTACGGTCTTGGAGCAGCTCTTACCGATGTTCCTCACGGCTGGAGATATATGGTAGCTATTGGCGGTATTCCTCCCATCATCCTTGCCGCTCTTCTGCCTCAGTGTCCCGAGTCGCCTCGACAGCTTATTGCGCATGGAAAGAGAGACGAGGCTGAGAAGTGCTTGCGACGAGTTTATCCTGCTGCTACTGAGGAGCAGCTCAAGTCCAAGCTTGAACGCCTTGTGTGGACTGTTGAGGTTGAGTCATCAGTTGTGGCCGGCAAGTCTCTTTGGTGGCAGTTTAAGCAGCTTCACTGTGTACCCTCTAACCTTCGTGCGTTGGTTTGCGCTTGTACCGTCATGGCCAGTAAGTCTTCCAATGCATTTATGGATGTGAACCTTCCGTCGCTGACAACACCACAGTCTCTCAGCTCGGTGGATTCAACACTCTCATGTACTACTCTGCGACCCTGTTCTCCCTCGTTGGATTCAACAAGCCCACCGCCGTTGCCATCGTTGTTGGTGCTACCAACTTCATCTTCACATTTGTCAACTTGGTTGTTATAGACAAACTCGGTCGCCGCATTATTCTGCTGGTAACTGTGCTAGGCATGGTAGGATATTCTCACCTCATCTGCATAGCCACGATACTAACATCTTCTCAGGCTCTGAGCATGATCATCGCCGCCGTTGCATTCCACTGGATTCCCATCTCCAAAGATCTCGTTCTCCAGGCCGATTCCGTGAACTGGGCTGGTATCGTCGTGCTCGTAACCATCATCTTCTACGTTGCCTTCTTCGCTACTGGTGTTGCCACCATCGGCTGGGTCGGAACAGAGCTTCTGCCTTTGGAGGTTCGCGCGCTTGGCACAATGATGAACACGGTCACTTGCTGGAGCTGCAACCTCATCATCGCGTCCACTTTCCTCTCTATGATGAAGAGCATGACACCTAGCGGCGCGTTTGGCTTCTACGCAGATATCTGCTTCTTTGGCTGGATCTTTGTCATCTTCTTCTATCCCGAGGTAAAGGGGCTTCCACTCGAAGAAGTCAGGAAGGTCTTTGAGAATGGGTTTGATGTTAAGTTGGCCAAGCAGATGCAGCGTGATCTCAAGACTAGGAGCCAGGTCTCAGTGGCATCCAAGGCCTAAATGCGGCATTTTGTGTCTTGAACAACATGAATGCAATGTACACCTGATACTATTCACAGTCTTCTCCATATCAGTATAAGCATCATTGACGCTAGAAGTCAACACCACCTACACTTTACAATTTTCTTGAAATTATCTGATTGTCGCTAATGCCGGTTCTTTTATGCTGTGGTAAAAGTCAAATAGCCCAGGCATTACTCTAGAGGCTTAGTGCATTGTTGCTATTTGCTCATTTGCATTAGTCTAGTGTTCTTTCTGCCCGAGGTAAGTATCCCTAACAAATCATACTGGAATATACTAGAAGATAGCACTGTGCCAGGCCCCCCCTACTATCTGTAAGCTTAGCAATCTGGTAAGTCACCATAAGGTTCTTTTAGTTGCTGAATGAAGTGCTGCGTAACTTGCAGTTGGCGTCTCTCCCACGTGACGGCATTTGAGAATGAAGTGACCCGCTCCGAGCCATCTCTTCTAGATCGACCTTCCATGTTAGAGTGCGATATTTTATAGACATTTGTACCTAAAGTATCTATGTACGAAGCCGCAACCTTACACTTCCTGCAAGTATCATATATTCAATGACTTCTTAAGCATAGCCAGCCAAGTAGGGTTATCCGCAATAGTCTGGTTTAGTGGATCATCACTGTAGTACATTAGCCAGCGTACTATATATCACAACGGAGGGCTACCTGATACTCACTCATTGAACGTCGCCATCCGAGCATGGTGCTGGAATTCCTCATCAGACGGGATGTGTTGCATAGGGTTGTGAGGCGACATGGTCGATATAGCCCAGCGACGAAGGTCATCCTCAAGCCATTGGTAAAAATTCCAGTCGTTAGCTGCAAATTGTGTGGCCCCGGAGACTAGAGAACGGGCATTCAGAAGAGCCTCGTGGTCAGCGATTGATAACGGGATATGTCGAGATTTGCCAGGGCCTGAAATTTCGTTAAGTGTTGTGGCCGTGTTAGTGGTCTGCGTATAGTTCATTGTAGCCTTCTGTGATGAAGTCAAGGGAACGTCTTCGTTCGTCGTGGGCGGATATCTTGTTCTAAACGAGTGCAGCCACAAGTCGTTATCAGCTCTTGTCTGGAACCATCGGTCATGACTCTGATTCATAACGATTCGAGCTTGATTCCGAAGGTCATCGTCGCTGGGTTCAACACCAAGCTGCCTTTGTTGTTCCAAGTATGTTACGAGCCCCTGCTCAACTCGGCTGTAATCATGGATGCTAGCCGGGAAATCGTCGGCTGTAGCTTGACCGCTCTCATGGCCGGGGCTTGGAGGAATATTGGCGCGTTGCCGGAATAATGAGACCCAGCTATCATCGGAATGGATCAAGCTGATCAACCATGTTGCGATAAATTCCGAAGGCGTGATTGAGACATCTTCCATTTGTCCAACTATCAAACAGCTTTGGTATCTAATTTCTTGATCACTTAGATAGGCTGATGGGCTTATAGATAGTTTTGAGGAAACGGTGTCAAGGAGCCGCTTTTCAAATGGACATGATTCGAATAGTGTATTTTTCCCTTTCACTCTGATTGGGTAAAATCTCGACTCGGTAGCTGTTCTGATCGGACTGAATCGTGCATCCTGTGAGACTTTGGGATCTGAAAATATCAAGTCCCGTAGCCAAGAGGCAGACAAGTGAGAGTCCTGGCTCAGAGTCTCGGAAGCTAAAATGATTCTGCAAGCTTCGAGCTGCATATCCTTCGCGGATGGCAGACGTGACATATCTTCGTGGAATCTCTGCATATAATATGCCACTTCAAGCTTCAGTAGTTCATAGGCGCTACAGGGAGTAGCGGCCAATGTCCTTTCTCCTTCGAACGGCAGAGGTGTGAGTCTTTCGATTTCGATGAGATCTAATACTAGTCAGGAAAAATCACTTCAATCATTGGAGGAAACAACTGTACATGGAGGCATTCCGTTCTCGACAATTTCTGCAATCTCAGGATCAAACCCCCAATCACCATGCCAGTCGGCCATTGTCTTTCCCAATTTGAAATGGTCAGAGATGTGATGCACACGATCTTCCCAATCCGCCATTTGGTGATCGCAGAAACCACAGCGGGAGCGAATGGCAGGTACTTTGATCCTCCACGACATCATTGACCACTCAATGAAGCTTGCATTCTGGTGGAATAGTCGCAAATGCTGGCGGAGATGATCCTTGCGATTGAACGACCGCTCAGGGACGGTACGTTTCTGACATGCTGTATAGTGATGGCTCTCTATATGAAGATCATCAGGATCAGCCAGGCCGCAAAAGACACAGCATAAGTTATCGTGGTTCGTAGGGTTGTTCATCCGCGGACCATTTGGACAACATATCCACCTCTCCAATGGTAGGTGCACTGAGTTCTCGTGTCGTTGCCAGTCATACTTCTTGGCAAAGCTCTGCGTACAGAATGTGCATGGGAATCTCTTCGCATGATTTATCAATACCGTTCGCTTATTGCTCTGTTTCATGGCTCTTCTTCTTTTCCTGCGGCTTGAGCGAATGTTCACCAAGGGATCGAATGGTCCTTCTATAGATCGACTACCATAAGAGTCGGCTGATGATTGTGAGCCTCTACTGTGGCTTGAACCATATGTGCTCCCTGAGAAGCCCCAGGTCTGACCAGAATCAGATGCTGCTATAGATTATCAGTCAGTACCTATTGATATAAACGCGATTTGGGATCTATACAAGCTGGCGGGCTCGAGGCCATAGCTCGAGCAATGTCGACGGCTGAGGCAGGCTCATTCTCTGGCGGCAACTCTACCCACCGCTCCAATGGATTCATCGAGTCTGTAGCTCTACGAGGAGCTGGAGTGTCTGGTCTTCGAGGCACATCCATCGCCTTGGTAGGGCAAGGTAAATCGTCTCTAGACCGCACCATCTTATCCCGACGCCGTGCATTAGCAAACCAGTTCATGATTTGGGTTTTGCTGAGATTAGTCTGCTGCTCAAGTATCTTCTTCTCATTCTCGTCAGGAAACGGGTGATGACTATGGGTCAGATACCAATTTCTCAGAACTTTGACTGTATTCTGAGTAAATCTTGCCCCCAGTTTGCCGGTTTGCCTAGAGCTTTGAGAAGTCCCCTCGCCCATAGAGCTGGTTGATGTTGCGGCATTGTTACCAGTGTTGACAGGCGCAAATGGGGGATGAAGAACATCAGGGATAAGGCTATCAAAAGCTAAGCCACTAAGGCTTGTGTCATAGTCAAGTAGCTGATTACTCTCAATATTGCCCGATAGCAATATGTCCTGTCCAACAGGTTCTGTGGGAGGAGCTTGCAGCCAGTTGTCCAGCTGGTCATCGAATGAGTACGGCTGCTCCACGTCGAGGAATGTAAGATCAGAGAAAATATCCTCATTTTCGCTAGAAAATGTTAAAGTATTACGCTTCAAATTCTCATCTTCAGGACAACCAATGCTAATAGCCTGCCTATCAGTAGGTAGATTGTGTTTAACTTGAGAGGGGCAAAAGCAGTTGGACTATGAGTTTGGGGGGTTAAAAAGAGTGGACAATCTCACGTAAGCAATTGTGCGATTTAATTAGCCAGGCTAGAAGTGATTAAAAAGAAGCTATACATGCTGTAATTTTTCTATCCTTATTAAAACCCAAAAACAAGTTTCTATAATATAGGTTCCCTAAGGTAGTAAGTAGTCATTATTACTTTTACTATATGTAAAATGTTAAAGGTGCCTCAAGCACTTACCTCGTATCATGAGTCGTATATCAGCCGGACCACTCGGCCCGAGACCTTAGTTAGCCACTGTTAATACGCACACATCTCTCTTAACATCCCTCTCAACATCAATTACATTAGTTCATGTCTGAGCCTGTATGCTGGAAACTCCAACACTGTATGAGAATGGGGCAACTTGCCTTGTATGGCTACTAGATACTTAAAGATAGCTCAATTTGTGCAAGGTGGGTATGTCTGAAATGGGTAACTCCCCCCCCGCGCCGTGATTGGTGCTGTCGGAGAAGCTTGTGGACTTAACCGGCGTAATGAGGAAATTTGTCCCGGATTCCCAAAGGGGATCAAAGCTTGAGAAGCGAGTCTAGCCCCCCATCTAAGCTTTAGGTTCCCATTGACATCTTGATCCTTGTTTTTCTGGACAAGCATGGAAATGTTCAGAGATCGCCGGGTAAAACCAGGTGGGTTAAACTTGCTGGGGGCGGAGAAAGTCGCCAAATGTGGCAAACTCTTGATCACGATTGCATTTGGCAAAGACTGATTTGTTTACCCCAGAGAAATCGCAATGTATAAGAAAGTCATATTGCCTTCGTTCCATTATACCCCTACAAGTTTCTCAAACAACAGTCTCTTCTTTTACCTTGTAACTACATACTATCTCAGCAAGAGTCTTTACCTCTTATTGAGATTGTCAATAATGGCGGCCTCCATTGTTTCCTTGGGTTCAGCGCCCTATGCAGCTGCAGTGGGTTTTGCGGTGGTCTTCTACTTCTTGATCTACCCTTTTATTCTGTATCTTAAGGACCCCAAGGGTAAGACATACTGTCCAAAGAGAAAACTGTCATACTGACTCTGTCTAGGTCTTCGACGCTTCCCTAACATGTCCCCATTCTCCGGCATGTCTAACCTTCCCTTCATGATACTCGCTCACGGGGGCGCACGATCGACCCATCTTGCCAAACTACACAAGACGAAACCCATCATCAGAACGGGGCCAAACTCGTTGTCCTTCGCCGGCGGCCAAGCCATCAAAGATATTTATGGTCATGGGACTCCCTGTACAAAGGACGAATCGTACATCGTAGGAGCTGGAACCCATTTTCACCTGGCCGATGTTGTGGATAAACACGACCATGCCCGGAAGCGAAAGGTCCTGTCATCTGCTTACGCACTAAAGAACCTCGAGAATTGGGAATACAAGGTGGCGGATAAGGTGCAGCGAATGATGGATCATTTTGACAAGGTCTGCACGGCTCCTTTGTCCAAGGGTACGAGGTTTCCCGACCCTCAGGACGCCAATCTAGACTTTCGGGCCTGGTCCAACTTTTTTTCTCTTGATGCCATCGCCGACATTGGTCTTTCGGAGAAGCTTGGCCTTCTTGATCAAGGTCACGACCTCGTGGAAGCCCAGCAGACATGCGGTACTGTCTACAAAACCAATCTACGCGAATGCCTTTATCCCACTGCACGCAAGCAGTCATATCTTCTTTGGACCTACGACCATTACAAGTTGCTCAACAAGATCTCCAACGTCATTCCTTTCTATCGAAAGATGGCAGAGTCGTCCAAGGGCTGGGATGAGATTGTGTTGCGACGAGCTCAGATCCGATTAGATCGATATCAGAAAGGCGAAAAGCTTGACGACTTTTTCCAGGCGCTTATGGAGGACAGGAACGGTAACTGTCATGACCTCGAATGGGGTGAGATTGTTGCTGAAATCAACATCATGATGAACGCCGGGAGCGTTACGACAGCTATTGCCCTGGCCAACGTTCTTTATCAGTTGATCCTCAACCCTAGAATAATGGAACTCCTGCGACACGAACTTGACTCTGCCCTAGAGTCGGATGAGGTTGTTGCCCCCTACGAAAAGGTCAAGCATCTTCCCTACCTTCGCGCCTGTCTCGATGAGTCACTTCGCCTCTGGCCCCCGACACCTCAGAATCTAGGTCGTCAGACCCCTCCTGAAGGCTTGACGATTATGGGCCAGTACATTCCGGGCAACACATCTGTTGGCGTCTCTGCTCTTGTGGCACATCGCGACGAGGCCATTTATCCCGAGGCAGAAAAGTTTATTCCGGAGCGATTCTTGGGCGAAAAGGGCAAGGAACTGCAATCTCACTTTATTACTTTCTCAGCTGGCGCTCGAGGTTGCATTGGGCGTAATATATCTTATCTTGAGCAGGCTGTTTGCCTTGCTTCAATAGTTCACCGGTATGAATTTGCTCTACCAGCAGGGTTTGAGTTAAAGAGAGAGGAGACGATGAACCACATCCTAGGCCCTATGCCTGTCAAGGTGTGGAAAAGGAACTTGGATAATTGACAATGAAGGAGTGAGGATTCAGCCTAGAGTTTAGACATAAATTGTATAAAGAGTGACAAACTATAATTCTTTACTACTGGTCAGTCCCAACTATATCAAGCTATGAATCAATTGGTCGGTAAAGGTACCGGTAACGACTGAAGTAACGGTCTCCTGCGTCAAGCTCAGGTAACTCACAAGACCCCCATCCACGTAAGCTGGTCTCATCTTTGCTATATCCCCAGCCATCAATCCTTAATTAAAGGGATTGCAGTAGTAGACGACATTGACAGTCCAGCCATCCACAGTATACAATACCCAATTATTACCGCCAGGGCTATAACCTTTGTAGCAGTTGTATGTGTGAAACCCGTTCGTACCCGTACCACACCAAGCGTTTACCTGCTTGCTGCCTGCATCCGCAAAGATGTTTGAAGTGAAGGATACACCACTGCCGAAGGTGCCTAGCTCCTGTTAATTTCTTGTTATGGCAGCCTATAAATTCAAGAAAACCTACCCTTTACTGTTCTACCTTCCCAGATAACGTTACTTCCATGGGTGACATCAACATAGTCATCGGGACGGGATCCTCCAGTTGCAAGATGGCCGTCGGCATAGTATGCTATGCCGCTGGAAATCTCGCTGCCCTTGTAGGAGTTTACGAGGTAGACGCTATCACTGGCAGCGACGGCGCTAGCGAGGGCGGCGGTGAGGAAGGCGGTGATCTTCATGATGATTGATAAGTTGTGCGATTTGCTTGGTTATTCTCGTTTCTACAGGGAAAGGCAGTATGTATTTATAACCCGCGAGAACGCATGTTTTACGCAAACGATCCAATCTAAATGATTCATAACCGCTGGACCGTCGGTATAGAATGCAACCGAAATTCTCCTTGTAAATATGTCCTATTTGATATAGGTGCCCGATTACCATGTTGACATCAGCGGCCTTCATTGAATGCAATGCTACTCTGTGTAGTACCCCAGAATCAACAGCCTTCGCTCTATTGAGAAACTGCTACACTGAGCTGAAAGATCTTTTGCTATCTGTTCATGAACTGTGGCGTAACTACACCTTGTCTGCTGCAAATGATACGAGATCTAACGGAATAAGGTCATATCTTACGAAGGCTCGGACCGCTCTTTCGGAACTTGCAATGTCGGGCTGCCTAATTTGGTAGGGCTGACGCTGTGGTTGGCGCCAAGTTGTATCTTCAGTGCATTCTCTAAAGTAAATCTAGCTGAGAGCTAACGCTGATGCCGTGCCTATTGCCCCCCTATAGAGAGTACAGTATATGATTATTTTGAAGTCTCGACTCAACAACCCTTCCAATGACCTGAAATCCCCTCTGGTAAATGGCTTCGCAGTGGACGATATCGGTAGAAGCACTAAACTTGCAGAAGACATGAAGCGATGAAGTACTGCGGATATTTGGGGCGCGAGCTTCCAAGTGATTATAATACCGGCGTTTTTGTCGCCAGCATCAACAAGTGGGAACTTTGTAAAGTTGAATTCGATTCTCTCACTGTCAGCAGTATCTACTGTTGACCAACCAAGTGCAGTTGGACCTGTAATGGTTGCCTCTGTCCCAATCAATACATACGATGGATGCCAACACGGACTGGATGAAAGTCGGTAAGGCATAAGTAAGCTGAGTGTCGGCACCCGAGGTGGACAGCTGACATGACGGCGTTCCTAGAGTTGCGAATCACAAGACTTTGACTCGTTGCTATACATGACTTAATGAATATTCATTCTTTGTAATGTTGAGGGTAATGGTACGCCGAGAAGTCCGACCATCAATGTAAAGCTGGGGCAAATTTCAATGGCGCAAGATCTAGTCAGTATATTAGCTACCTAACACAATTGCCCAAGATAAACTTTTCAGCCTATATGGTCATGATCACGTCTGACGCATAAAGAGAACCCTAACAAAACTCCCCACCATCAACGCGAAGATACTCCCCGAGCTATGAGTGCTCTCAGGTCCCAGAAGCCACGCTATCTGGAAAGAAACCTCTTCAGGCTGTCCTTACTTTCCCCAGATCGAAGGAGGTGGAGGAGGCTTGTCACCAACCACGCTCCTCATCAACGGGCCATGAGTCCCACCAGGCGACACGTCGTTGATCCTGGTTCCCTTAGATCCATAATCATGGGCGGCACGCATAGTCAGTCCGATAACGGCGTGCTTGGATGCTGCATGTGGCGCAAAACCTGGAGCGCCTTTCGAACCTAGGTTAGAAGCGAGGCTCACTATGCTTCCACCAGTCTGCATCATCCCTATTGTGTGTATGTCAGCCGAGTCGCGTAGTGGAGGGTAGGTCGCAGCCGGGAGGTCTTGCACCGTTGACGTCAATACCCATGACGAGGTTCCAATCGTCGTCACACAAGAGCGCTAATGGCTTTTGGCCGTGAAACTCCCAACTGTTCCAGCAGCATTGACGGCACCATCCAGACGGCCGAATCTCTTCACGGTACTCTCATGGAAGAAGATATTGTATATTATCTTCCCGGCGAGATATAGTACCAGCTATTGACACATGTTAGTTAAGATACCTGTGCAAAGCAAACGATGGATGTTTGAGAATACCCTACTCACGCTGGTAAACAGAATCGATATGTAAAAGCTTGCGCTTCTTGACTTAAGAAGAGACTGAAGCAAGCGAGACATTGCTTTTGGCAATTTATAAGACAATTGTCCGTTGTGAAGGCTAGAGAGAGCGGTCCTAGCCTAGCAGCTTATGTATTAAAATCGAATCTTATGTCGACAATCGACATTAACTGGCTTGGTACCATGGCTTCTGACAAGTTATATGTATTGTTTACTAACTGTCAGTAATGACAGAAAAAGTCAAGGAGGGGTTTGCGAAGACACCTTGGCAGTTTTGTGTAGGTTAGACGTTAGTTTATTAATGTTATGTTTGAGTGATGGCCTGGACGTATATTTTACAGCGATTGCCCATCGCGCAGACCCTACATAAGCAGACAGAACTCGATATATAGATCGAAAGGTAAGCTTGATATAATATGCAAGATACTGATAATAGTTTAAATATAAACTATAAAGTAATAAGTATATCTAAATACCCAGAGAATGACATTATCTAAGTTGTTAATATTAGAACGTTAATTAAGTATTACCTATACACGTTTCTACCTACCCCAGACCCCTGAAATGAAATACTTCGGATTTAGTCGGGCAATTAGTCAGCCATCTTCCCTGTAAGCCCACATAACTGGATCTTCTTGCTCTCTTACGCATTCTTGTCACTTTCAATGAGATTTACGCCTTATCTATGTAAGCACTCTATAAAACACCCGAAATTATACAACGGAACCTATGTATACTTGAGATCATGTCTGAGTTCTCGTATCTGTCACAGTCCGACCGCGAGCGAGACTGTCGGCATCAACGAGTAACTCAAGCTACCAGCCGCGAGAATACCCGCGAAAACACCAGTCAAAGGCGAGACCGAACCCACGATCATGATGAGATTATAAATCTCAAGACATCTGATGTGCAAGTGAAGGGTGCTGCTACTGTTGCTGTTGGGATTGGCAATATTGCTTCCGTTCAAGGTATCGGGATGGACAACATGTGCGCCAATTCTTTGTCTCGAGTTTCCCCCAATCTCCTCGACCCGTTCGACACCCTTTGCGAGAGTCCTGAACGATTACGACTCCTTCTGAGACACCGTAGGGCCTAAGATCCTAGCAAGCCTCGCGCTAAGCTCACCTGCTAATCTATGTCACATAGCACTAGCCAAGGCTGCCGGGGAACCTCTATTTCGAATCGATCAACAGACGCATTGTGTTTTGCTTCAAGGTGTAGGCAATAAGGATGGTTTGGTGCCCTTATTGAGCCACAAGTCTTTATTCCATGCTCTATCCCTTCTTCTAGCTTTAGTAGCCAATAACTATCAGCCTAACTACGAAACCATGCACCACCGCAGTCAGGTTCTTCAGTCTCTCAATCGAGACTTGTCATACTTTGGCGGTGACTCGACAATACTACATACCATAACGGCCATTCTCATGTTGATTAGCTATGAGTATCGAGTTCGCGATACATATCCAGGTCATCCCTGCGCTGCTACACATATTCATGGCCTCCAAACTATAATCTCCCAGCATAACACCCTGATCAGTGAGTATAGCATGGCACATGTTCCTAAAGTCCAGCGAGCTCTGGTCTGGCAGGACATACTCTGCTCACTGGCAACTGGTGCACCCCGACTCTTACAATTTGAGAACCGCGGGATATTCACCCGCTTGCGGGAGGATGAGACTTACCGTAGCTACTTTGGGTTGCCGCAAGCATATATACCGCACACCCATGGGTGGCCTGCAGAAGCATCTCTTGTTTTCGAGGATCTCAACGCTCTATGCTGTATCGTGGACAGAACGCACCGAGGAACAGGGGCGTCTTTCTGCTTGGTGGATAAGAATAAAGAGGATACCTCAGTTAACCCAATGCCGTTGATGGAGGACTTGGATGACGAGGGTTACCCATTATGCAATAGCCAAGCCAACTTGCAGATTCGGCTTGTGGACCTTCTTAGTGGAACAGGAAGAGATGGCTCTCAGAGCGAAGAAGACCTGATTTATAGAGCGTGTCTCTTTGCAGCTTATCTCTGTACATATCGACTTTCCGAAGGTATTTGGGGAGGATACTTTGCACCTGAGAAGTGTGTTACTGAGATCCTTCATTGTATGACAGACTTCACAAGAAAGATGTCGCCGTGGAAGTTAGCGCCGGACATCACATTCTGGTTACTTCATATGGCTGGCGGTCTCACAAAGAGTCGGCTCCACAAGGACCGAGCGGTTACGTTGGTGGAACGTTATCGGTGCTTTTACTCGACTGGCTACGACCTGGACTGGGAGCTAGTGGAGATGAGGTTGAAGAGGTTTATCTGGTGTGAACGCGTCATGAAGCATATGATGTATAGATTCTGGCAAGAATACCAGATTGGTCGCCGCTAGATCTAAGATATCAATGCCACACATTTGTACATATAAAATAAGAAGACTATATGCTCTCAATATTCTCCTGCTCAGCAATAAGGTAGATCGGGGTTGGAGCAAGAACCAGGAATAAAGCCTTGCTTAGTTGTTCCAATATCAGCCTCATAGATCATCGCATCGGGAGCTAGAATGCGATCAATGATGTGCACAATACCCTGTAATGATTAGTCTCCAATGATCATCAGCCTAGTCTTCTCCCCCCCTGGGCACTTACATTAGTCACAGGGATATCGGCTTTGACAATGGTGGCCACATTATTAAGCACAAGGTCACCGCCTTTGATCTGAGCTGATGCATATAGATAAGACCCCAGTTGAATTCGAGTCTTTTCCGTAGTGAAGTTGCTCGTGTATAGACGCGAGTTGGGAATGTAGTGATGTTGAAGCATCTGTCCAGACCACCAGCGTCCCTTAGGTGTACTGGAAAATGTCTTATAGTATTCACCAGTATTATTGAAGGCTTCGTTGGACGGTGCGATGAATGTGTATTGCCAGTCAGCGCTTGTACTAAATGCCTGGGCGAAACCTTTACCCAGTCAGCGTTGAAACCAGCAGTGACGATTGAGGGTTTGAGATCACTAACCTGGAGTCTGTTCAACAAGTTTGGAAAGCTCGGACAAATCATCCCGGGACTTGATCAAATCCAACAATGTAGTTTCTCCCGACTTAGCAGGAGGTTGGTAGATATCCTCTGGGATCGGAGCATATGATAGTGCTTGTCTATCGAAGACTTTCGCATTACATAATGCAATGGCAGCGAATAAGATTATCGATAGTTGAAACTTCATGTTGATAGCCAGAGGTCTGTTACTATGAGACAAGAGCGCTTAAGATGGATCTTGCCGGGCCAGAGAGTTTCTAGAGAAGTAGATGTAACTTTGATGATATAAGAAGCTGCCTGTATGATATTAGCCTGTTTCCCCAGACATCGAGGACGGGCTGTTACTAAGCCTTTCATCGGTCAAGGATCAAATAACAGCCGGGAAGCATGTCAAACGCCCGAAAGATGGCCCGGTACTCGACACTAAGTTGATTTAATCTATTGGAATTGCGGGGTGACTCCGGGGTTGGGGCGCAAATGCGGAGTAAGGGGTATGGGGTTATTGGTCCGGTAATTCGTCCGAAGAGCCGTTCACCAAGCCATGTTCCTGGAATTGGACACTCCGTATCAGTCAGCGTGGAAGAAATAGCGGAGATGTTGTATCTAATCAATCTGACCATGAATACTTGAGGCTGGAACAAGACAACGACTCAGAATATTTCACGTTACATCAATTTTGCTTGACAATTCAAATTAACTCACCACAATGAGATCTATTCTCTTCGTTTCGTTACTGGCAAGGGTGACCTTGGCGAGCAAGCCTTTGGCTCAAAAGCCACAAATGGGTGAGCGCTGTTGACATCATGTCCCTACAAAGTACTGTGCTGACTGGAGAAAGGCTGGAACTCATGGAATAGCTTCAAACTCAATGTGAGCGACGAGCTGGTCAAGTCAACCGCCAACGCCCTCGTCGATACTGGTCTTGCCAAGCTTGGCTATGACCACGTGTTGATCGACGACGGATGGCAAGACAGTGAGCGTGATTCAAACGGCAAGCTTGCGGCAAATCGTACCAGGTTTCCCGGTGGTATCTCTGCCACAGCCTCCTACGTTCATGGCAAAGGCCTCAAAGTCGGGATCTATAGTGATGCCAGCATCCTTACGTGCGGAAAGTATCCTGGTAGTTATGGCTACGAGGAAATTGACGCACAAACCTTTGCTGATTGGGGCGTCGACTACCTCAAGTACGATAACTGCGGTGGCTTCCAAAGCAACACTCTCTCCGTTCAGGAGCGGTTTCTCAAGATGTCGTACGCGCTGGCGGCGTCTACTCGTCAGATCTTTTATTCGCTTTGCGAATGGGGTAATCAGTTTCCCTGGCTCTGGGCTGACCAGATAGGCGAGTCGTACCGAATGTCGGGCGACATTTACTCGTCTTTCGCTAAAGACAGAGCTAGCATATGCAAGACGGCTTATTGCATGAACCAAGGCTATGCCGGGGTCAGTGTGCTGACGATGATACGCAAGATGCGAGAGATCAGTCCATTCTCGAAACCAGGCTCTTGGAGTAAGTGTATTCATCAGTGATGATATTTCTTACAAGGATTTGCACTAACTTCTGATTTAGCCGACATGGATATGCTGGAGATTGGGACCTGGACCATGACAGAGCTGGAAGAGCAAACCCACTTCTCCTTCTGGGCTGCACTAAAGTCTCCTCTTATTATCGGCGCTGATCTCAAGAACATTAGCGATACCTCTCTCGCCATTTACAAGAACAAAGAGATCATAGCCCTGAACCAGGACGATGCGGGCAAGCCTGCCGTATATCTGCCAAAGCTATCTGAGGAAGGCAGTTATCAGGTTTGGGCAGGACCACTAAGTTCTGGGAAGAGCCGGCATGTGATCTTGGTACAGAATTATGATAGCGACGATGTTGACGTTGAGATCTCGTTGGCAGACATCCCCGGTCTTTCTGTTAAGCAACAGTTGAATATCAGGGACGTCTGGGCGGGAAAGGCAATTGCTGCATCTGGAGGCAAGGCTAGCTTGAAGGGCATCAAGCCGACACAAACAAAGGTCCTGGTCATTTCTAGATAGCGAGACGTTATATAGCAGCATCCAGGCTATGTTGTGTGATCAAACTGGACTCTTTTCTAAAGCAATTGTGTGAGGAGCGTGTTATGAGCATCAGCTATCAGGTCTATCACATGAGAATAACAGGATTGTAAAAGTCAGTTCAGGCAGTTTACTTTCAGGGCCATCGTTGAATATATCATTCCTTCCATATGGCATCATCTCATCTGCCACCAGGATGTAGTTAATAATGCTACACTGATAGGCTCTTTTACAGCTTTCACTTGGACTCGGAGTAGGAAGTCAGCAGCGTCGCACGGCGCTTCACAGCATGATCTTTGTAGTAGCAGCCTAGGGTACACTGTCCATCGAGTCGGAATTGTAGCCATGAACGCTAAAGGGTCACATTCACGAGATCGCACAAGATAACACTACAGTCTCAAACTTCTCATTTTAACACAATCTATTCACCGAGGCTATTCTGAGGTAAAGCTACTTCTTTGATGTAGCCCAAAGCAGGTCTCCAAAGCCAGGCATGTCGCCTCCAGTCACCACCTCCCCACCTGCAGCATCGTATGCTTCCTTGACCTTGGTAGTCCACTGATTGTTCAATCCCTTGGCCTCAGACATATAGTAGAGGAGATCCCACACAGCCGGTGCTTTCTTAACAACTCCCGAAACCTCTTGAACAATGCCTCTGTTGAACTCGGAGATGTTTTGCCAGGGACCATTGACCAGAACTGATTCGCATCGGCGCCACTTCGAATCATATGGTACTGTCTCGTTGAGGTTGTACTTTGCTGCGTACTCTGCTCCCTTCAGAAGAAGGTTATTCCCATACCCAAATAGGTCATACCCTTGACTCTTGTAAGTTCTAGCAGCGAGGGCAAGCCAACCAAGACCAGACATGACATGGCTCTGGTCTCGGCCAGACTCAGAGTTCTGGCCTGTCTTGGAATTGATGGTTGCATCGATTCCAGCGCACCAATCGTTCTTCCAAGACCAGATGGCAAAGTTGTATGCTGACACATCTTCGAGATACACTGCATAGTCCATCAAAGCTTTGATAGAGGCGATGCCGTAGTTAGCCTGGCCAATGATCAGGCTCTGTCGAAGAAAGAGCCAGTAGAGCTGGATACTGAACCCTTGGCCTCCCTGCCACTTTGCTCCTACCTCGGTCCAACCGCCTTCCCATCGCATGATCTCTGCAGCGTTCGCAAACAGGGTCCCTTCAATGCCGATGAGAAGTGAGCGGTCGGTCCCAATGATGTTGGTCAAGTTTGTACCCCACGCATCTAAAATGGTTGTGGAGCGATCCCAATGAGCTTGATCTTTGGTGATATACCCTGTGGTACTATAATTAGCGGTAAACCCCTATATAGATTCATAGAGAATGGAGGACTCATACACATAATGGCATTTTGGTAAGCAGCGCGGGCATCATTCGCAAACGAGGTGTAGTTGCTGATGGATCCACGGGAAATCACAGCATATGGACCGTTCATCCTATAGGAGGACTGAGAAAAGCTACTGTTGGCGAACTGTTGGTAGCCTGACTTCCATGGGTCAAGTCCTTTACGAACGCCATTTCTCATGACTTCAAGATCGTCATGAGAATGCCAGAGACCAGGATGATTGAAGTCGGATGGCTTCCGCTTCATGCCATCAGTCCAAGGAACATAGGGGATCGCAGCTGCAAACAGGGTCAATCAATACTCAATGTTAATGTCGACATTCTGCTTTGTGCAAGTATTTACCATTGATGCTCGGGACATCCTGCACGAGACCAGCAACCCCCGATACAAGGAAGAGTGAGAACTGAGCTTTTGTTAGCCAAGTGATGAACGTGACACTGGGATGGACCATACAGTAAGCAGTCTCATGTTGAACAGTTTTCGTTGATGTTGATGGTTGCGAAGATGGCTTGGTTATGCTCCACCAGCTATTGAATGTAAACGAAGACACTCTTGCTACTGCAGAGATCGACAGTAGTACCAATATGCAAGGCTTGATCGAAAGTAATGCATAGTGACGCTATTGGTGTCTTATGATGGCTGGTCAGTAGGGTTAGTGACACTTCGTGGGGGATCTCTCGGGCCAGCTCCGATACTTCATTTCAGGCTCTCTAATACCCTGGTCACAAACGCCTCGGCGTAAGAGCTCCGAATTAAAACGTGCATGCCGGTAAATTAATCGCGCATGCATTTGCGGGGAAAGTCTGGGGAATCTTCTGGGGAATGATCGACAGGCCAGAGGCTGGAGGATAATCTCTTGAACCTGTTCAAGTTGTAAATACAATCCTAGCGTGAAGGCCACATGACATATATTCGGATGATTGATCGGTCACCATCCGCGCTAGTTTAATCAGGGAGATTTGGCTTCCCTGCGGTATTGCGCATATTTCACCCTGTTCCGCGACTTGAGGCCTCGGGCTTTCGGTTGTTTTGGTGCATGTAGAGATCCTAAATGAAGCACGGTGCGGTAACTGGGCGGCTACAACCAACAGTTTCTCCATCCACTCAAGCCATGCAATATGGCTACAGCCAAACAGGCATCTCTCATAGATCGTATGCGAAACTGTCGCAGACAAGTCAATGCAATCCTGTTGCCTACATATTCTTGTTGCCCAAGACGCCGGCAGTTAGACGATGAAGCAGTTTGTTGGATACTTTGGAACCTAGTAATAATTGACTCGGGCATAGTGAGCTAGAAGATCAACCTTGTCGATTAAGACGACCCTGAGCAACGATCACTTGGATGTGCAACTGTAAAATACCACGCTGTGAGGTTTATGACGACCACTTCAGTTATGGGATGTCTGTCGGGAAAGGTTATGGGCGTGCCCTCGACGTATCATTTCCCCCTCTTTTCGCTCATGCTACGTGTCCATCATCATTCGAATCGCGTCGTTTCCATTCTATCCATTGTATTATTTCTTTCTCTCGAACTCGTAGCTGAGCGACTATAAGAGTGTCTTGTCCCGAAGCCCGAGTTCAATGTGGTGCTATAAGCTATTGGTTACAGGTCTCGACAGCAAGTGACACAGTTCACTCACAACTCCAAGGTGTTCAAAGCCAATATCATAGCCATCTTCACTATACTCAACATGGCAGCTAAGGCAATCATTTGCATACTTACTCTGGCCGTCTCTGTCACTGGGTTCGTGCATCCTGGCCTCTTACACACGTCTAAGGACTTGGAAAGAGCCAAGTGTCACGTACTCAAGGGCGATGAGCCATGGATGACAGACTGGCAACTCTTGCTCAACAACAGTCGCGCATCGCCAACTTACGAGCCAGATCCTCAACCCACTATCTACCGCGGCTCAGACGGTACTCACGCGGAAAATTATGGCCGCCTCTATAACGACGCTCATGCGGCATATCAGCTTGCTATCCGATGGCATATCCAGGGGGGCGGTCAATACGCTGACGCGGCTGTTGCTATCCTGAATGCCTGGTCATCTACCATGGTGGCTATTGGTGGCAGTAGTTACTGCTTTCTCGCTGCTGGCATCTATGGCTATCAGCTTGCCAATGCAGCAGAGCTTATGCGTTCATACAGCGGCTGGAGTGCCTCCGATCAAGACCAGATGAAGACGTTTCTCCAGGACGTCTTTTATTCGGAGAGCTACAGATTCTTGACCACCCATAATGGACAAGACGAGTATCACTATGTTAGTTGCCTTTCTACAAGAATTAACGATAACATAGATCACGCTAACTACGGGCGTGCAGTATGCAAACTGGGACTTCTGCAATATCGCTAATATCATGGCAATCGGCGTGTTTACTGACAATCAAACGATGTACAACTACGGTAAAAACTATTTCCTCAACGGAGACGGACGCGGAGCGATCAACAACTTCATCTACAAGAACTATACCGAGTCTGGTAGTGGTAAAATTCTCTCACAAGGCCAAGAGGCTGGGAGAGACCAGGGCCACGCGACTCTGGACATTTCTCTACTCGGGGTCATTATGCAACAGGGCTACAACCAAGGAGATGACCTGTTTGCCACATTGGGAGAAGCTGGGCTTCATGCGTGAGTAAGCCCATGTGAACCGTATGAGCGGTAACTGATATGAATCAAGCTCCGAGTATGTCTCTAAGTACAACGTTGGGTACGACGTGCCGTATACTCTGTACGAGAGTTACCAAGGCAATCAGACTGTCATATCAGCGAATAGCAGATACACCCATCGCCCAGGCTTTGAGCTTGTCTATGCACACTACAACGACATCAAACACGCCAACGCTTCCTGGACCAAGATGTATCGCGACCAAACCAATGGGAATTCTACCGCCGGGGTGGAAGGCGGGGGCGGTAACTATGGTCCTAACAGTGGAGGCTTTGACGTTCTTGGATATGGCACCCTCCTCTATCGCCTGTCGGCTTGAAGTTTTGCTCCGGTACTTGAATATTATAAGACTGAAGGGTGAAGCGACGAATCAGCTGTTTCAGGATAGTATGAAAGGAATTGAGTGTCAAATTGCGCTTGGCAACCATAAGCTCTCACCCACAAGTCTTAATCACGAATGACATGCCTGAATGATTGCTTGAAATAAAGATCTATCTACATTATGAGGGAAATCGACGATAAAGGGTTGGTTGACTTTTCATGAAAGACGTATAAATTGAGCATCTCCAGTGGACAGTCAGTAGCTCAGCAAATCGGACTGGGCATGATGAGAATTGACGAGGTAGAGCTTCGGCCGTGTGGGTGTCACCCGGATAATCTCAGCTAAAACAACGGCATAGAGTACAGAGTCAGGGCGGCCCAAGTCTTTTATAATCTCAACGCACTCCCCAGGTGCTCAACAACATGCTAAAGAGGTCCTCATGAACTTGGCGCTTTTGAGAACTATCGTAGTGAACGTATGATTGATGTATAACGGCGTAGTATTCACCAGATAATACTATATAACGACATTTATAGAATGGAGAAGGTCCCAACTCGTTCTGCCCCTGAGACCACTTCACCACTACTATATCTCTTCCCAGTAGCTTCCCCACCAATCCCTCAGAAGTCGTACCTAAAATCGGGATTCTCCTTGTCTGTCAAGTCTGCAAAAGCATTCAGGTGCCCCAACTGGTCACCATTCTTCTTGTTGCTGTCATCAGCCGCATGAGACGCTTCCAGAGCCGCCTTTCTCTTGTTGGCATTACGACCGACCAACAAGAGCCGGAGGATGACAAGGAATATGCTGAAGAGAACGTAAAGACAGAAATGCGCTGTAAACCCCTTCTCATAGCGAGGCGAATCGGACTTTTGGAAGATCTTGGGAACATCAGTAAATATCTTAAAGCATCTGCGGAGTGACATACCTGTGGGGCGGTCATGTTACCAGCAGCCCAAGCCACGAAGGTGATGGCTAGCGTGGTAGACTTCTTTGTCTGGCCGGCAATGTTGCGAGAGATGAGGGAAAAGATCAGGTTTCCCTCTGCGAGATAGAATTGCGTGCAGTAAAAGGCGATGAGGAGGCCGACGCGGTTCGAGGATTAGTCGTTGACAGCTGCCGTTTGGGGGGGTAGATGTGGAGCAAAGATTTCTCTTGTTGGAGTCGCCATCTTGAAGATCAGGGGTATTTGTGGTGTTGAGCTAACCTTTCTTGGCCGACGGATTGGAGGCACCATCTTATATACCTCCAAGGGCGGCCAAAGAGTCATAATCTAGGTTTTCCTCTTTTTAGCCTTTAGCTGTAGCAATTGGTTAGTCATTTGGTATAATGTCTAAGTTGTAAGCTAGATGTGTTATTTGCAGTTGAGACTTGTGGCTGAGAGCTTAATCCAGCGGACAGAACTTAGCGGTTCGAGGATGTTGGAGGGATGCTGTAGATAATAGCAGTTCCAATGATGGGAGGGCTGATATATGTGTTAGCACTCATGTCCTTTGATCAGATTCTTCTGGGTAGCTTACATTGTCCATGCGTGCATCACCCATGCAGTTTGCCCTGTGGCTGTTGCGAGTGTGGCGCTCCCGACCATGACGATGATTGTCACGGCACCCTGGGCGATGTTAAGAAGCTGGGTCTGAAGATAGGTGAATCCGAAGGAGGATATGATAAGATTGGAGAAGACACCCAGACCGCCGATGATCAGACTCGAGGTGAGTTGGAGCATAACATAGCACCAGACGATGGGATCAGTGGCTGCTTCGATGGCCTGATACCTTTTGTAAGACTTGTTCTGGATGCCAGTCTCGTTGGCACGAACTCGCTCAACCATGAGTCGCTTCTGGTCTTCGTTAAAACACTTTGCTTTCATTGGAGAATCAGGCAGCCACCAGCCAATAAATAAGCCCCATACACAGGTAAGTAGTCCAAGAACGAGGAAGAGTAGTTGCCAAGGGAATATGACTCCATCCTTGTAGTGAGACACTCCCCATGCAATTATTCCACCAACCTAGAGGTGCTTAGGTCAGTCCATGATATCTTGATGTTATGGTTACAGGGGCCTTTCATACCATGAGCTGAACTCCAGTCATACAGTACCAGAGGGACGTCAAGATGCTTTGCTCTCGCTTTGTGTACCACATACTCGTCCTATAACACATTAGAGGAGGTGAAAAAAGTACTGGATACCCATGACTTACATGATGATGAAGGCCGGCTGAACGCATGACTCAAACACACCCAGAAGGAAGCGAACTACCATGAGGCTTGCAAAGTTCTTAGCAGCCGCAGAACAGGCAATCACAACGCCCCAGCAGAAGACATTGGTCGCCAAGTACTTAGCAACCGGTAGCTTTTGGAGCAAGAAATTGGTGGGATATTCACCAACAAGAACTCCCATGTAAAGGATTGTTCCTAGCCATCTGAAAGTCCAAGTGGTCAGTACCTTGAATGAGCCATGTCGTGTCATCGTCCCCATTACCACAAAAGAACGGACGGCCTAACTTACGAGAACTGTTGTCCGTGGAGATTGGCGTCTTCCTGGATGCCCATTACAGACGAAAAGCCAAGCGTGCCCTTATCCAGGGACTGACAAAAGTATGTTCCGAGCATACAAGCCAGGATGCGCCTGTTGACAGTCCAGAATAGCTCCTTGTTCGTCTTGTCGTCAATTTCGACCGGGGTATCTTGGACGTAATTAGCAGTCTAGAATTGAGAGGTTAGTACATCGGCTACGTAAGCATTGGGGACGTTCTACAGTACCTCAAGATCTGCGGCTGCGGCCTTTTGATCGTAGTGAACAGTTGCCTCAGCAGGAGTGATAGAATCACTATGCTGTACTTCGACTGCTTTAACCATGACGGGCCTTGGACTTTGATAAATGATAAGATATGGCGAGAATCGGCTCAATTGATATGTGGTGACTCTAAGCACGCAGTGATGAGCGATAGTGATCGACGGAGGCAGGAAGACTTCATTTAACTACGGCTCGGGGCTGCTGCAGCCCCGGTACAGTTACAACACATACCACAAGTGACAAAAAGGGAGTTACGGCGGGGAAGCTTAAAGGCGGAGGACGGGGGATCTATCGGGCCTGCGCCCGATACCCCCACAAGCGATACCGTCTTATGGCCCGTAAGTAGTTTTTTAATGAGTTGTGTTATTTGAACAAATAAAAACCTCTATTTGCATAACATATACTTAAGAACTTGGTGTAAAAAGCGATATAATTAAAGTTACTACACTGTATAAGCACTATATAAGCACTATATATAACTAACTTATCCCTATTAAAAATAGCTATAATTAAGATATTAAATTAGGGTTAGTTTTTTAAGATATTTAACTATTAAAATAGCTTTATTTTTTAATAAAATTAGAGCTAGGTCTTAGGGCTGCTATTAAAGCTTAAAATATAGTAGTTATTTCCCTTATATATTAAGGTATCTTTTACCTAATTAGGTTTAGCTTGTTTATGCAAGTAGAGGTTTTTGTTTATTTAAATAACACCACAATTACCCCGCCCCCATTTAAAGCAGCTTAGTTAGATGTTTTGGGGCGAATTCTCAGAGCTATTTCCGCCGTACACATTAGATGATTCTCTGGAAAGGGTTTAAACAACAACCTAGGCAATTCAATTAACTATCTAACCATAGCTTTATGCCTTTGACTACTGTACTATTTTTGAAATGCTGCAGTGAGCTTTATACCACCCTCTTGGACGTTTCCTACAGTAGATGTGAAGCCGCTAGTTTTAACATCCTCACTCATATGAACTTTGGCGTCAACCTCTGTGGCCTTACATCCAGCTGCGACTCCCAGGATGTGTTCAATGTCTTCCTCGTATCCTTCTTCCGATGCTTTCCAAGAAACAAAGTCATCAGGACAAATAAGCACAGCATCTCTGCCCCAAATCTTTCGCGCGGCAGTTTCTTGCGGAAGGTGAACAGGCTTCAACTGAATACCGATATGCTTGGCAGTCTTCATAAACCGGGCAGCCCATTTACCATACTGGGAGAAGTCAACTAAAGTGAAGCCTTGTCCAAAACGATCGAAGATACTGGTTTTTCCATCGCTAAGAAAAAGATGCGGGGCACGTGCACCAGGCCACGTCGACGGGATATAGTTGCGATGGCTCCATTGAGGCTCTTTGCTGGCATCTCCTGGCCTCAAAATGGTGGGTGAGTTTCTGTATCGGTCCCTCATCTCAATTCCGTGGTCTTGGTTCTCGCCTGCATGCTCTTGAACATGACGATGGATTCTTTCTTTGAGCTCCTTCGCCTGTGTCGATCGTGAAAGGATCAACTCTGGGCCAGCTTCTGCGACCCATCCGACATAGCCCTGATGGACCTTGAAGTGTACTCCAGAGCGTTCAATGTTTTGAATGGCTATAGGCTTTCTCTCCATCTCGTACGACCGTAGTAGATGGCTTCCGCCGCCACCATTGATGACAGCAGCGAGTTTCCAACCCAGATCGAAACTATCTCCGACAGCAGTATTCATACCGTAGCCCCCCGTCGGAATGTTTTGGTGTGCTGAGTCGCCGGCTTAGAAGACTCGTAGCGATTTTGAGGCAAATTAATCCGCAACAGCGATACTTGGGCGCCAACAACTAGATACCAATATCTCGTCCACAGTTACAGGGCAAGGATCTCCGGAACCCCCGAGTACTTGGGTGATGACCTTTTCTGGGTCTAGTGATTTCCAGTCCGTGTCTAGAGAAATTGGGAGATGCTTAGCCGGGAATTTCCAACTTCCCGAAGCTTCAGGGGGTCAATTTTGCTACGCAAAGTCGTTCGATGGATTTGCACCTATTAGTCTAAGTATTTGCAGTCCGGACATAATCCCTGACCCCCAGTCTCTATGTCTGAAAACAATAGTGAATGGACAGACTGTGCAAGAAACAAGCACAGGTAACATGATCTGGTCGGTTCGAGAGCTGATTGCTCATTTAAGCCGTGGTACGACTATTCGTCGTGGAACCGTTATTATAACAGGCACACCTTCTGGGGTAGGATATTTTAGGAATAGCTTTCTTAAAGATGGTGATACTGTAGAGGTGGAGATATATGGGATGTTAAAGGTTATGAACAAGGTGGTCTTTTTGTCCTAGTTGGTCGACTAAAACAAAAGCATTACGGTTACGAGTATTAGACCTCCTCTTTTTACATCAACTCAATGCTCTTTTAACTGGCTTTGATAATTCAAAATCTCTCTAACTGTACTCAATCTATGCTAGTGACCTCAATGCATTCATTTCCAATAGCTTGTTACCAAACAGGACAAAGAAGTAATCAGCATACACAAGCCCATGATCAGCCCAACGACGAGGAGCAAACTCGAAATTATTGATAGTCGCTCCGTTGAGGATGGTGTCTCCGAGCCCTACAGCTGTCTCTACACACTTTACTACAGTGGCACGGCCATTTTCCACTGTAGGAATCGTCCCCATGTCCTGTTTCTGACTAGCGGCAGGGTTCAAGTGTCTCTCGCAAACAGCATCTACTATCCGTAGGGCATGGCCGAGATACGGAGATTCCTCGGAGCGATTCTGTAAGGATTGGTGGATGAGCAGCATACCGTAAGCAGCGACCACAGCTGCGCTTGTATCCGGGGGTTGCTTGGTGGCACCAGGCTCGTCTTGTGCGTCAAAGTCCCAGGGCGGAACATGGGTGTCGGGTAATCTTCTCAAGAAGTAGTCGGCACAGTTCTTGGCCGTGTCAAGAAACGAGCTCTCGCCACTCCATTCATAAGATTTTGCAAACCCTGCGATTGTCCACGCCTGACCTCGCGACCAGCACGATGTATGGCTGTAGCCCTGGTTTGTGAGACGTTCTTTGAGAGTGCCAGTCGAAGGGTCGAAGTTGGCGACGTGGTAGCTTGACCAGTCTTCGCGAATAAGGTACTCTTTCGATGTGCGAGCATGGGCCATGGCAATGTCGGAGAACCGAGCTGAATCGGCTTGGGAAGAGGCCTCAGATGCCGCCCAGAAGAGAAGGTCGAGGTTCATCATGTTATCCTGTCGAGTAAGCAATGCTAGTCTAATAAAGAGGAGTCTCTTATGGGATATTAAACTTACAATAATGACGAGAAAGTCCTTGCTAGGGTCTGTAAAGGAATAAACCTTTGTTTGACACACATCCCACGATCGCATGCAGCCGACCTTTTCCGAGAATCGGTCTGCTAGGGTATTGGCGGCCGTCATTAATGTGTTGAATGCTTTTGGGTCACGGTGGAGATCCCACTGCAAACGAGCCCAAGGGCAAATCATGAACCCCAGATCGTGCGTGCCCATGAGAGATCCGTTTTGGTGAAGACTCTCCGTCCACCACGTAGAGGCATATCTATCAATCGCTCGTCAGCAACCTGTGTCGATCACAGATGGGTCAGTGGGAAGTACTCAAGTTGAAGCATGTGAGGAAAGTCTGGCTTTGGCCGTGAAAGACCAAGAAGTCGCAGCTCAGTTTGGAATTTCTTTCGGCGCTCCATAATCAGGTAGAGTAACCCGGGAAAGAACCCCGATGTCCAGAACGAAGCATCTCTGTAGACATACTCCGTGCTTCCTGGTTTGGTATACTCCGGAAACCAAGTTGGCGGCTCTGGCTGGTTTGAGTGTTAAATTCGCAGGTTCTGCAGCACAATTTGCAGAGGACATACCATGTTGAGACTTCTCTCAGCTACAGCCCATATCTTCATCTCAACAGACGGGGAGAACAAAAGCTCAAGATGCCTGAATTGACTTGATAGCGTTTTCTTCACGTCGGCTTTTGTTCTCTCCGTTCCATTTCTCTTCGCACTATTTGCGTATTGGGTCTCTGACATCTAGAAGAATAATGATCAGCGAGTTTCCCAATGCTCAATGGAGCAATGGCGCGTACCGGAAGCTTGCGTTTCGTCGCCAATATCTGGCCAGGCTGCATCGTTTCTGGGAGCTTCATCGTTGAGAGCTAGGCACAGCAGGAATCAAGGTAGCAGGTTCTGAAGAAAACAATAAGTTGTTTATTGTAGAAAGGTTCTTTTTGTCAAGAGAATAACCAATTTTGTCTTAAAGAATGCTTACTTAGTGGATAAGTGAAGAAGCATGAATCTCTAACGTGAACCGGAGAAGATGTCGGATGTCATCCCGTAAGCGTAGGTAAGACTCAATGGCTATGCCCTTATCCACAAGACCCACGGGAGCTCTTTCTCACGTTTTAAGTGCTCAATGAACTTATTGCAGCTTGATCTGCACAGCGAGGCCCGGTGTGTTGGTCAGACTTGCTGTCGGAAAAGGTTTCGGGATTCCCCCGTCGATTCGCACATCAAGCTGCAAAGATGTATGCCAGCTCTATCATGTGTACCAAGACCACTAGACCACCTTAATACTGCCATGCGTAATCGGGGCGCGAAAGAGACCACAAACCCACATCGGCGCCTGTGTCCGCCACTTGTATTATTAGATACAGTCGTGGTAGACAACCCCAACTTTATCCCGGGACCGCGCTGGTTATTTTAAGGCACCAGACTCTGATTTTTATTCAGAAAGAATCTAAATACCAACCATGCATTTCTTCATTTGCCTTCTTTGCAGTTGGGGCGTCTTGTTCCAAACAGTGGTTCAAGCCATCTGGAACCCCATTATCCGCGGGTGGAACCCAGATCCTGCGATCCTGACCGTGGGCGACGATTACTACATTGCCGCTTCTTCGTTTGAGTACTGGCCAGATATTCCAATTTACCATAGTAAAGTCCCAATCCATCCTTCAATTGAGCAAGGTTTGCTGATTTAGTTCAAGGCAAGGATCTGTCCAATTGGACGCTCAAGTCTCATGCCTTGACACGACCAGATCAACTGCAACTCTATGGGACGCCCACTGGAGCAGGTAAAGAACACGGTCTAATCCCACTTTCTGACAAGATATCTGATCACTATGCACAGGGGCCTGGGCGCCAAGTCTCTCTTTTATCGATGGAAAGTTCTGGCTTTCTGCAATGACACGATGGACCTATGATCCCGTGGCCCGTGTATGGCCTCGTGTCTGGTTCATCTCTTCAGAAGACCTCGTTAAATGGTCTGATCCTGTATGGGCCGAGCCATGGGGCATCGACCCTGAGCTTTTCCAGGACCCTGTGACCAAGAAGACCTACCTCAACCTCATGGCCCCTAACAACAATAAAGATCGACTCTGGGGTATTGCCCAGTGTGGGGTGTCTCTGACATCTGGAAACTGCGTAGGGCGTTATGTCAGTCTGTGGAATGGGACCTTGCCTCACAATTCGACAGCCAGGCCCGAAGGACCCAAGATGTATTTCAAGGACGGTTGGTATTATCTCCTAATCGCTGAAGGTAAGTATGCTTGAGACTTTCTCGAATAAATATTAACATTAATGCTCCCTAGGCGGTACGGATCAGCTGCATCGATCAACCATCGCAAGAAGCAAGACCCCGTCTGGTCCTTTTGTCGCCGGGCCACACAACCCTCTGCTATACAATGGGCAATGGGGCTTTGACAATCTTACCGTGCAGTCCACTGGGCATGCCACCCTAACAAAGACAAACAACGGGCTATGGTATGTCACGTTTTTAGCTCGCCGCAACATCAACGGATCATCTCCTCTTGGTACCTTCACCTCATCAATCAGTTGTCAAGTGATTCCTAACCGCGACAAGGCCGAGAAACATTCATGGTCATTGTTGACTGGAAGGATGAGTGGCCTATCTTCAATCAAGGCGGTCCTGTTCTGCTCAGCAAGCAAATAAAGCCAGAGGTTGGCCCAAGACCTGTTCCTCGACAATGGGTCGACGACCTTTCTCACGATCAACTCGACTCATCATGGTATCAACTTCGGGTACCGTATACCAAAAATTATAAGTTACAGAGAGGGAAACTAGTGCTGAAACCCAATGTCTTTGGTCTCACTGACCGTGATACCCCAGCAGCTTTGCTACGTAAGCAGAAGTCACTCAACATGACGTTTACAGCCGAGCTCTCCAGCTTCAAGGGAAATCTAGGTCCAAGAACCAAGACTGGGATCTCTTCTTATCTTTCCGAATTTCAGCATCAAGATGTCGGTATTCGAGGTTGTGTCAATGCTACCGGTATTTGTCCCTATACGGAACTCAATAAGAATGGCACCCAGGAGGTGAGTTGCCATTTTCAATATGCGCAAGTCCATTGCTAATTACGACAGTATTGGCAAACTCCACTCAACCAATCGAGCGGGCTTGCTGATAGTCTCAGCTTACACATCAAGGCTGAACCCCTCAAATACCGACTTGGTTACAGTTTCGGAAAGGAAGCTCCAGTCTACGTGACGTCAATCACGTCATCCTGGCAAGCTTTTGCTCCGCCAAATTGGTTTGTGTTTTCGGGCGCATCTTGGGCGATATTTGCGACTGGCGATGGAGAGCCCTGGCCTCACAATGGACCGCAAGTCGGATTCAACGAGGTCAGGGAGACTTTTCACGAGGAGAACATTCCTGATTACGATCGATGGTAGAGGTAATAGGCCAAAGCTGCTGGTAATTTATCTTTATGTCTAAAACCCTCTTTCTTCTTTTCCTAATTAGGGATCTTTTGCCTTGAGTTGTCTAATTGCAACTACTAGATGGGTGGTGATTAGCCAAGTGCACTCACAAGCTTGTCATGCTTCGGAGCTATAATTAGCAAAGTGAAGCTAACCGAGGTAAGACCGGTTTATCTCACTATCTTAGTGCGACTTTTAATAAGCAAGCTGCAATAAGATAAACCTGGACACAATAATGTTACCTGCAGATTCCCCGAAATATCTATAGTTTATCTTATCTTTATAGTTAGATTGTTCTAACTATAGACAGTATTTACTTACGTCTATATTATAAGTTAAACTATTAAAAACTTAAAGTTAAACTTATAATAGAAGTTATCTTTAGATAGTTTAGTTAATATACACTACGCTTTATATAAAGTGTTTTTAGCAGAAGTAGTTTATTAGTCCTATTTTATAATAGAATAATTTAGATAAATTACAACAATACCCTATACTATCCTGATCATGACCTGGGGCGGATTAAATGATGGCCCTACTCCGACGACCCCGCTTTTCTGTTTCCTACTCATCTAAGCGACCCAATTATACTTAAGGACAGCCTCCACTGAAGACATGGATCACTAAGACCATCGAGCTTAGCCCAAGCACACGCATTTACAGATTTATTGTTGTGGTAAAGAGAAGGTGATTATTAAAGCACTTTCGAGATGAACAGTAACTCAAATTTAAAGCAAGCAGTAGAAGGACCTGACTACCATAGATCTGTAGGATGCAACAGATGTTAATGCTATGAGGAGATTAAGCGATTGTCGGGCTCATCTCCGAGACTTGTCCCGACCCCGACACCCAATGAGATCATACAGACTCTTCTCCACGAAAACTAAGCTCAATCAGCAAGGGGTGACGTGACTCGACATGCCCCATGGGGCCCCCCTGAGAAGCGGAAGCGCACCAGCAAAGACGATCCCCAAGGACCTTCGTGTTCTCTATGTCGCAGGAGAAAAGCAAAGTGCTCAAGAGACCAACCATGCGGCACCTGTATCAAGCTTGGTAAACCTCGCTCATCCCTCAGACTCAACTCGACTGACTTGTTGAAGGTGCCGAATGCATATACGACCAGGAAAAGTCAAAGCCGGGCATGCGAGCGGGGGCTATTGAGACATTGACTCAGCGTGTAGGTAGGCAGTAAAGAAACTTCGCATACTCAATCCTTGTAGCTGACCTACTTGCTGATAGCGACGCTGGAAAACATGTTTGTTGGCCAAGGCGTTCTCTGGCAGCAGATCTGGAACAGCATAAAGCAACCAAACAACCAGCAGTACGGGCAAACCCCGGATTCCCATCCAGATATTTCGATCCAGCAGATGTCATCTGATGTCCGAAGACATCTCACTGAATTGCCGTTATCAGAAATCTGCCCACAAGTGGTAGTAGAAGGAACACAACAAGAAAGCACATTCGATGCAGCAAATACACACCAGCCGAAAAATACCCCCAGTCCTCAACACCAAATTAGCCTGGGTACCCTCCCTCCGGACGATCTAGTAGACTCCATGGTCAACATATACTTCAATCAGATACATCCTTGGATACCGATGTTACATGAGCCGACATTTCGAGGGCTGCTCTCTAATCCTTCGGGAAGAACGCAAGTATCGACAATACTGCACGCTATAGTGTCTCTCTGTATACGATTCTCAGATGATCCAAGGCTACAGAATGCTCCAGAACTCCGGGCTCAGTATTCGACTAGCTGCCGCCAGACAGTCATACTTGCGAGTATGGAATCCTTTTCGGTCGAGAACTTGCAAGCAATGACTATCTGTGCCTTTGACATCATTGGTAGCGGCAGAGGTCCCTCGGCATGGTCTATAGTCGGCAGCATGTCGAGGACAGTCGAACAACTGCGTCTCAGCATTGAGGAAGAGGAGACCCAGTCACATCAGTCCAGGTCAAAGGCTCTAATAGAGAGGGTGGCATTTCTCCCCCCGGCTTCAACGTGGGCTGAAGTAGAAGAGCGGCGACGCATCTTCTGGAATGTCTTTCTCATGGACCGCTTCTGCAGTATCTGTACTGGCTGGAACCTCTCATTGACCAGTGCTGATGTCACGAGGAGGCTGCCTTGCGAGGGTACCATATGGGAGACTGGGGAACCAAGCCAGACTCCTACTCCGTATTTTGGAATCTCAACTCGGTCCCACGACCGCGAGAAGGATTATTTGCCAGCCACTCGCGATACTGAAGATGGTCAAGCTTCTCTTGGTGGCTTTGCCTTTTGCATAGAGGCAACGGAGAGTCTGAGCCTTGTCACGTCGTTCTTTCTCCAATACCGAGTTGATTTCAAGGAGGTCCACGAAGTTCAGAGGTGGCTTATGAGATTTAAGCAGTTGGACTTGCGGCTCGTACAGTATATATTCCCTTCACGTATATAAACATTAAAAAGGTTGAGCTGATCAGACCAGGTGGAAGTTCTTTCTCCCCGAGAAATGGCGCAAGGCTTGCCAATTCAACAATGACGGCAACTTGGATCCCAATCTAGTCCTTGCGCATATAGCACACAATACTGCTGTTGTCCTCCTACACCAGGGCTTAGCTTATCCACCAGCAGAATGGCAATCCCTTCCTGTCAGACTGCCGTCATCTTCTAGCGCAGAAACCTGTCAGGTCGCGGCTGACGAGGTTGCCACGATCGCAGAGCAGTTCCTTGGTCACTCATATGTACTCATCAGTCCGCAGTTTTCTTTTTGTCTTTTCGTGTGCGGAAAGATGCTGCTGACCCACGCCGCATATTACCAGTCCACTCTCACTTCATCTTTTGACTCCATCATAGCGAGCCTCGAGGAGATATCTCGTAGGTGGAATGGGGAACAACCTCCAGCACGAGCAAACTTGGCTTCTAAATTCTGCTCGCGCCTCAAGAAGGCTCGTATCGAAGGCTCCGGGGCGGTTGATATCCGGGAAGCGTTTTCCGAGAAGCAGGATGGTGTTGCATCGTCGAGGAGTGCGCATGTCAACTTTCGTAACACAGGGCCTCAAAGGATGAGCAATTCAACTGAAGCAACAGTCCCAGGCGCATTAAATGGAGAAATTGGGATCAATGGCACTCAGACGGAGTCGCCCGAGAGCATTTCTCTAGCTTTCCCGCCACTTCCAATGTCATTTCAGCTGGGTAGCGCTACTCACGATTCAATATTTGTCGCGCCAGCAAAGACGAGTAATGACATGGGAGAAGTGGTTGGAACGGATATGAATATGGCAGGGAATTGCCTCGACTTGTACAATCTCTCAGAGCAAACATTTCTTCCATCAGAACGTGTTAGTATGCTGAGTCGCTCGTACATTGGAGACTGATGCAACAATGGATATAAGCTTTGACTGTAAGGAATAGCGCAGGTGTCTCATCAGGGAATGAGTTGATCTGCTCTTCTGTTTGTCTTGCCCTAAAGCTGAGTCCTTACATGCAGTGACATCGATAGATGGCTTGTGTGGAGCCAATGGAAGGATGAAGACTTGCAGAATTGTCTCAGAAGTGTGGTCGTGTTAATGGTTGTTCAGCTTGACGCTCCCCTCTTGCACTATTAAATGCAAGACTGACCCAGACTCCAGAGTCCAGACCTTGCAGGAAGGTCTCAGCCCAACAGGGTTTGACATATGAGATGGCAATGTGCAGCTTGAATTTCACCACCGTTTTATATTCTCATGAATAAGGTTGCTATCTTCTGAGCATTTATTAAAATATTGATTCACACTAACAATAACAATTTCCTTATGCTGGCAGCAGCAGCCAGCCACTTTGTAGTATACCAATCAACACAAATACTGGGTACCCTCCACCGCAATTGAGGCTTAAAACCCTGGGAGCCTCATTTGTGATAAGACAAAACGCCAATGCATCTTGCGTCAGCACTAACGGGAATGTGTCGCTCAGGTGTGGCATGATTCCTTTTTCAGTCGGCCATCACATTCACCTTCTCCATTGTGAATGCATCCGTTATACCCGGTCCCCTTCCAGGATCAAATCTGCTCAACGCAGGGGTTTGCCTGCAACCCTACCACATACACTACTTATAGCTCTCTTCTCTTGTGCCTGAAATATCAACTTGAGATCATCCTGTGAGCCTGGGTCAACGTTGCAATTCTTTGAGACACAATCATCGGGCCTTCCCTATTATTGATACTACCATGGATGCTCCATCAAAGCTCTCATGGATAGGTCTATTCCTCCTCCTCCTTTGGCTCCATGCCGATGCTTCCTTTGGACAAAATGATCCAGTCAAGAACTTTTGTCGGAGGTGGGGTCACCAATCAGCCGTAGTTGATCGCAGGCTGTACATTGATGGAGGTTTGATCAACTATGGAGGAGCGGCAACAAATAACCAGACCAGTCAGTATGAATCACCTGGTTAATGCTTAAGTTTTATTAACATAATCGCAGACACCTTCTTTTCATACAATGACCTCGACGCCGTATCCAGCGGGGGAATGCCCCCATTCTATGCCAACCTTTCCAAGAACGACACGATTCCAAGCGTCAATGGCGGCATTTTATGGGAAGACTCGATCAACAAGAGACTGTATTTATACGGCGGCGAATACCAGAGCGCATCCCCTCAGCCGTTCAACTTCTACAGCTACGATATTCTTTACAACGAGTGGTTGTCGTTCGGATCACCCCCACAGGAAGTTCAAGCGGCCAGCTATGGAGCTGGCGTTTCAATCCCGTCGAGAGGAGAAGCGTACTTCTATGGCGGGTGGCTTAGCAATGCATCTGTTCAAGGCTGGTCAGGCCCGCCTGCAGCTTCGAATGGATTGATCAAGTACGAAATGGATTCGAATACCTGGAGCAACGACACGGGGCCAGATGATACAGGACGAGCAGAGGGAACCATGGTATACCTCCCAGTTGGAGATGGCGGCATGCTGGTGTATTTTGGTGGAGCTCAAGACTTGTATGGGAATGGAACCTTGACACCGCAGCCCTTGGACGAAATCTTCTTATACGATGTCGCGAATGCGAAGTGGTATACTCAAAAAACATCCGGCAACACTCCTGGCAACAGACGTCGCTTTTGTGGTGGCGCGACATGGGCCAAGGATCATTCAAGCTACAACATGTAAGTTCAAGTGGCGATGCCTTAGTATACAGTGGCTAAGTCTATCACAGTTACATCTACGGAGGCGGCGGGTTTGAGCCCGATACAATAGGCTTCGATGATATCTACATCCTCACAATACCAAGCTTCCAGTGGATTCGGGGTCCGTACCCAACCTACCGCAACGGCACCGGTTCATACCCAAAGAGCATGATGAGCTGCAACGTGATTGACAACGCCCAAATGCTCGTGATTGGCGGTACTTACTCCAACGCTACTCAGAAAGTCTGCGACGTGCCGACCATTCAAGGCGCACATAACATGAATCTGGGCAAGCAGAACAAGGAAGATGCAATCTGGGCGTTATACCAGCCCAGTTTGACGACGTACGTTGTGCCCATGGACATTCGAACGGCTGTTGGCGGCAGCAGTACTGGCGGTGCCACAAAGACAACGCCCGTCAGCGGATTTGACGCTCCAGACCTGGCTGTGCAAATGGAACGCACAGCGGCGTCGGGGACAAGGACAGCGACTCGTGCAACTGAGACAAGCACCAAAAAGGCAGCGCCCGCGACTCACACCAGCAAGCCATCTTCAGGACTCGGTACTGGAGCCATAGCAGGGATCGCTGTGGGAAGCGCTGTGGCGTTTATCCTTGCTCTGGCAGGATGCGGTCTTCTCATCTACCGTCGTCGGAAGCATTACAGCCAAAGTCACGGCGTGGCGGCGCCACCACCTCGGAATGATATGACCATGACTGGGCCACCGGCAGCTGGTGGCTGGGATGTGCATAACCAGGTGTCACCCCTCGCAGGAGCTCCGTCTTATGGCGGAGGACATACGTGGCCTGCACATCCCCCGTCTGAGCTGACAAGTGAGACACGATCGCCTGACATGCACTCCAGAATGAGCCCCAAGAATGAATTCCACGTTGCTCATTCTGGTGAGGGTAATACACCTGCTGAATTGGCAGGAGAGGGAAATATGCATGACTATCATGAAGGACTGTCGCCCATGTCTGGGACTTCTCCCTCTCCCCATAATAACTGGACCGAAAGATACTAAGAGAGATAATTGTATTAATTAAGATTTATGTTATTAAATCCTACTTCTAAGAAGGTATAATTTAGTTTTATATTTATTATATAAATAGCTTCAAAACTGTCTAACTTATCCTTCTTAATATTAAATTTTAGTTTTCCCTTACTGTGCTTATATTAATAAAGTATTATATCTTTATAACTATTTATAGAAAAGCTATTATATATAGTTCTAAATAACTCTGTTATGGAGTGAAAGCTTGATCAAACGACTGAAGTTAGAATCGACAATATTGCCCATGCTTCCTCCATATAGCGCAAGCTCAAAGGACCTTGCCAATCTCATGGTCCAACCAACCCTCCTGGAATATGGGGCAATGCCTGTTAGCTTATCTTTATCGATAAGGATTTGGCTTCTTCTGACGTGATTACTCACGTGCTCTCTATTAGCCGAAACACCCATTTACCCCTCTGAGTTACATTTTTACAATTACCAATCTTACACTATAGGCGTATTGCTTGAAGTATTCTGATATGGGCTTTTTGAATACCTTTTATGCCATTTCCAGGCCTCTCGGATTTATCTGGATATCTATTAAAGGTTATACAATTGGTCCCTTTTTTTTTTCATAAAGAAAAACAGTATATTGACACGATGAACAGTGCACTATAACATCGTAATACAGGCTTTCAGAAAGAATGGCATATCTTCTCTTGTGAGACTTCAAAACATAAGGGAACAAGCTGCGGCGAATGTCTTTATCCCACTTTGTTAGTTAATTAACTTAGGTGCCTATTGGGCTCATTCATTGACATTGGATAGCTGAGGGTTTTATCGCCTTCGAGAATACCACAGTGGTTCCTGCCTTGCTTTCATCAGCCCATGGCAAGGTACTTGAGCTTGGCCCTGGGCCAGGTAACCAAATTCAACGGTTTGACCAGTCAAAGGTCGATTTCATATACGCTATCGAGCCTAACGCGAATTACGAACATACTCTGGCGTCTAAAGTTGAAAAATATGGGCTGACAGAAAAGTACAAATTGGTTACCTGCGGCCTTGAAGACAGCGACATTCTGAGACGCGAAGGAATTACTGAGGGCTGTATGGATACAGTGCTTAGTATTCAGGTCCTGTGTGCAGTAGAAGATGCCAAAAGCGCAGCAAAGGAAGCATACAGTTTGTTAAAGCCAGGAGGATGTTTTATATTTTGGGAACATGGGAAGAGCAAGGATACCCTCATGGGCTTGATCCAAGGTAGGTCTCAGCAGGATATTACCCCCCCAAAGCACACAAGTTCCTTGTACCCATTGCTTCCAGGTATGTCGGCCGATTAGTCGTGCTAATATATTGATAGCGTGCCTAAACCCTTTTTGGGCGGGATTTATTGGTTGCCGTGTTACGAGAGACATCAAGTCGGCCATTTTGGCTGCTGGAGAGTGGGAGAACCCCGAGGACATCGAACAACCGCAGGATGCGTATAACTTCCTACCCAGGGTTTGGGGTGTCCTTATTAAGAAATAAGCTGATATCGAGATACTAAACTCAGTGACCCTCAGATTAATATGATAGCTTTCATTTAGCCTGGGATGGAAATTCTCTAGTAAATAGAGGATGTATAGAAAGCATCAACTATAACAGCCTTTTTGAAAAACAATTAAGACGATAATTTAGTGAGGCTACAGACGGAAAGCGGGGTCTACCTTCTTGTTGTACAAAATATAAGCCCTGTTGCCTTAGGCCCCTATGTAGGGTCCTTACATTTTGTGTAGGCCAATGGCACAGTGGTTTTGTTTAACACTTCTGTCCAGGCTTATGCGCTAGCGCCCATCGGCTAAGCTGTCGGACTGATCCCGAAATCCTCCTACTGAGGTATCACAAACTCATGATAAAGAGTTCTAGTTCCTGACAGAGATTTGCTGCATGAAGATATGTTGACACATACAAGCGTCATGGACGACTTATCCAGTAGACTTGATAACTTTGGCCCTGCTATTCAAGAGTTGATGAAGCTTGGTGGCACGCCAGGCTTGAGTCTCTCAGTCGCGACCAAGAACCAGCCTGTCTATCATGCAAATTACGGCTTTCGAGACCTTCAGAACGAACTTCCTGTCACAGAACAGACGATATTTCCGGTATGTTCGCTCGCAAAAGGCGTGTCAGCCGCGGCCATGGGGATATTGGTCGACGAAGGCATTGCGTCGTGGGAGATGCTTGTCAAAGACGCAACGGCCTCTTTCCATCCAAACGACACTTATCTGTATAATAACACAACACTAGCCGACCTATACAGCCACCGCAGTGGAATGTCATCATGCGGAAATCTGGTTGGTGGTTGTGAGGGTAACATCTTGATCGGCAGAGACGATTGCATGCAGGTCGTTAATCACCAGACTCTAGTCCCCGCTCATCTCGGTTCATTTGCGTACAATAGCACTGCTTATGACGCCTGCGATGAGAGTTTCAGAAGCCTCAGCGGCATGTCGCTGGGCGACTTCCTCCAGCAGCAGGTCTTCGTTGAGCTCGGCTTACGAAGGACCTTTATAAAACCCCCGCCCAGCAACACAGATAACGTGACAAAGTCTTACAACGCGTTGGATAATGGCACGCCATGGTGTATACCAGGACCCAAGCTTGGTGAAGATGGTATCGGCTGCGGCTCTGGTGGACTCTGGTCTTCCGCTGCTGAGTTGATCAAACTCTACACTTGTTTTGTCCAGAGCTTCAACCATGAGTGTCAGACAGGCCAAACCACGACACCAGGCTCCCCTCTGAAGCAGGTATCGAAGATAATGTCTCCTCACGCGACAATGCTCTCGAATGAGAGGGGAGAAGTGTCTTACGGACTGGGATGGGCTCGTGTGCAACTGCCCAACAGCTTGGGACATATTGGTCTGAACGGTCGGCTGATGCCACATGGAATGCCTGTTATCGGGGAAGCAGTAGCTGACGAACTGATATCATATCATCAAGGCACGCTCCCAGGCGCTCTTGCGAGTGTTATACTGATTCCCCGTACGGAAAGCGTTGTGTTGGTCATGGGCAACAGCCTCTCACTTACTGATGTACCTGATTGGGTGTCACAAATGGTACTTGAAGAAATCATCGATGTTCCGATAAAGGATCGTACCGACTTTATTGCATACGCAAAGACGTCTATCGCCATCAACTTGGGATGGTATGGCAGAATCACCCAAGGTCTTGTGCAGGGCCGACCACAAATCATCAAACCTCACAAACCATTGGAGTCTTACATAGGAAAATATGTCGATAAGAGCCGTGTATTCAGCGTCGTGGTTACTGTGGAAGAGGGGGTGATGTTTTGGGCATTCCAGGGACTGGATTCGGAAAGGTACAAGCTGACACATTATGATGGCAACACCTTTACGTGGCTGCAACCACGGAACGACTTGTCGTGCCGCGGCAGATGGGTATTGGGAAATGACAATGATCCTACGTTCTGGAAGGTGGAGTTTGGTGTCGATGAACATGGCACTGTAAACAAGGTGGTCTGGCGCCACGACCCCTCCCTAGATCTCATTGTCTATTCACGATAGTGGGGGATAATGAATTTGATTCTTAACCCGATATGGATCTATGATGTCTTTCATAACTTGCTTATTGATTCTGAGCTACTAAGTATACAGCGTATTCATATGTAATTTGTAAATATTTGTCATGCATCCTAGAATACCCAATCCAGCTCCGGGGAACAATTAAGAGCTGCAATGCTTCAAGAAGGACCGGCGTATGCCTCTCAATCAACACATGCACGCTATTCTATCAGGCCTAATTTTTCACAGGATATGGAACTGTCATGTGATTAATGACGGCCTATCTACCAGGAATCCCGAAACTTGGGCCGCATTCCGAAAGCAAATGATATTCTGAGAAAGTTCAGCTAACCGTATAACCTCTCCCGCATGACGGCTGTTGGGGGACTGTGGTCTCAATTTAGCAGTTTTTGTATTTTGTCCCATGTTAAAAGTCACCAGCACTCTAGGAGAGGCGTCATTGCCAGTATGGCCGACATTGTCAACAGCATTAGAGTAGATGTTATTGAATATGTGTCTCAGGCTCTATGGGTGATAGTTTTGTGTTGTGGGCTTTGCAAAACATTCTAATAGCTGTGGCGGCAACTTTGGACTTCGAGTCATAAAGCGATAGGTCTAACTCTTCCTAATTATGACCTAACAGAAGCTTTAACTCGAAGCAGATGATGTCTATGGAGTCGCAAGAATCGAGTGCTAGTAGGAGCTGCTCCGAAGCTTTCTCCGATCCCCTGCCACTAGTGCAAGACCCAACGCCCCCAGGTTTCCCCGCATTCTACCAATGTCAAAGGCGGAGCTGATTCCGTAATGCCCCAGGACTGGAAATGTGTGTAATTGCTGGTTTTATATATTGGTGATCTGCATCCACGAAGGAACACGCATGAGTCACTAACAGAGTTGTCATTTATAGACCCTTACAAGTTCCATTTCGATCTTGCCAACAGCTTCTATTCCACTTGATCAAGATGAACGACGCCAAAAGAGAAATGGCTGACGTGGAAGAATTCGAAGGCCTTGTCCTTGCCGATGTCATCCCTAAACTGGAGAAATGGTGGTTCCAGTATCCCAACCTTCGGAAGCTGAATTTACTCCTTCTCAGTGCCTTCTTGGCGCAGTTTACTTGTGGATTTGACGGTAGCATGTTGAACGGCATGCAATCTCTGCCTCTCTGGCGGGAAGCATTTGGCGACCCAGTATGTTTCTCTGGGGAAGTAATAGAATCCTCTCGTTTAAGGCACTAACGTGTGGGCTGATAGACAGGTGCGAACCTCGGGACTCTCGTCAATGCGATCAATATCGGTGTTCTTGTATCAGCCCTCTTTTCGTCTCAGCTTTGCCAGATTTTCGGGCGGAAGAAACAATTACGCTCGGCACTTTCTTGATCATTATTGGTTCTGCCCTTCAGGGGGGCGCCCAGAATCTGGGCATGTTCATTGCCGGCCGAATCATCATTGGCTTGGGAACTGGCATTGTCGCCGTGGCCGCTCCTCAGTTGATGACAGAAGTGGCGTACCCGACTCATCGCGGGAAAATGGTGTCTCTATACATGACACAGTGGGTTGTTGTAAGTCCTCACCTTATATCGGGAAAAAAAAAAATCGTGTTGTCATTCATTATCTGTGTTCGCAGCCTAAAGCTTAAACTTATAGGCCGCAGTCATCCCATAGTAAGTCCTCACCTCTTGCGGTAGGGTTCATGCGTAGGCACTGGCCAGGAACGATACTGACATGTTATACCCATCAGGGCTATCTCGTCGCTGCTTGAATAACGTTTGGCACGTTCAAGATGAACTCTTCCTGGAGCTGGAGGCTGCCCAGTCTCTTGCAGGGCGCTCCAGCCATTCTGCAGCTAATTCTTAGCATTTGGGTCCCCGAGTCTCCACGCTGGCTCGTGTACAAGGATCGTCGAGATGAAGCTTTGAGCATCCTTTCTCAGTATCACTCCTGCGGCGACCACGACTCTCGTCTAGTGCGCTTCGAGCTACTTGAGATTGAAGCAACCCTGGAAGAAGAAAAGAAGCACAAGGCGATTCAGTGGTCCGAATCTATCCGCACCAGTGGTAACCGTAAGCGCCTCTGGATCTTACTTTTCATGGGTTTCGCTGCTCAGTTGTCGGGCCTGGGTTTGACCGGCTATTACCTGACCAAGATCTTGAACAGCATTGGCGTGACCAATGCCAACACGCAACTTCTCATCAATGCAATTGCTGCTGTTTGGCAGCTGTGTTGCTCTATTCTCTTTGCTATGCTTATTGATCGAGTTGGCCGACGCGGTCTGATCACCTTTGGAATTACTACCATGTTGGTTGTCTTCATAGTATGGACTATCTGTTCAGCCCTCAACGAGGAACGTCAGTTTTCAGACCGTCCTCTGGCGCTTGCTGTCGTTGCCATGATCTTTCTGTTCCAGGTTGGCTACCAACCATTTGCCATCTCAACAGTGCCCTACGTCGTTGAGTGTTCTCTCTACTCGTTACGCTCGAAGACAGCTATGATCTTCCAGTTCTGTGGCTACTCGCCTAGTTTCTTCACAGGTTACGTCAACCCCGTTGCCTTGGACCGCATCGGCTGGCGTTACTACATCTTTGCATGCGCTGTTCTCAGCGTTGAATGCGTATTTGCTTGGTGGTATCTGCCTGAAACACAGGGCAAGGGTCTTGAGGAGATTGGTCAGATTTTCGACGGCGACGAGCTTCTGACAGGTACGCAGGCCATCACTAAGAAGCGCGAGGAGAAATACCGTGGATTTGATGAGAGTAGTCTTCGTGAGCACAAAGCTCTCAGTGCGAGTCACGTTGAGAAAGGGGAAGAATGATATCTGAGAGGTGGTTATAATAGTCTTCCTGTGCTGTGTAAGCTGCTCTACCTAGTTTCTCAATCTCGCCCGTATATAGCCGCCATGTGCTTTCACAAATATAATATTACCCAAGACAAAGACCATATACAGCCCAATAGTTCCGCGGAAACGTGTATGGGAACCATGTGAATTCATTCGTAAAATCGCGCTTTCCACTCTAAATGATGGTTTCTAGGACGAGTGGCTACTTCGGTGGGAACCCCGGACTGGAGCCGTGTCTAAATCCGGCATCCTCGGCAGCTAGGCACGGGTACTACCGTCATAGAGTCGATCATTGCGGGGTCTCAGGCCATTGGTGACGTGCTAATAGATACTCTTCTAAAAAGCATCTCGTCATGGTGGTTTCCAGTGTCACAATATGTCTCGGGATTTTGACTGCGATTGTTGTCACAGAAATGATTCAAGTCAAGTCCCGGGCCAAGTGCATGAGCTTCTCGACCGTCTCGAATCATTGAAGAGTAAAAGTCACAACTGATGTCATTCTTGCTTTTTCTTGCTTGGCTGCCGTGAGAGGTCATTTTAACATACCCATTGGAGACAGTTCTCCAGCAACTTTAACCGCAGTTATCTCTGGGCATCTCTGGACATTATCTTCTTATGAACTGAAGATCTCTTATGAACTAGTCACAAGTAATAAAGCTTTTGATAGCTAATATTTCGCTGCTGTATCTAAGACTTTAAAGGGTGTTACTGGCGTTTCTCGATTCCATTCCAGCACATTGTTCCCCGCTTACCAGGTTAAGCTATGCCACCTCTCTCGGATACTGCGGCACGGAACTTTTAAATTTAAGCGACGTTACGTTGGTGGGCTTAGACGGCGGCGAGGTTGTTAGTCTCGTCGGGTGATGCAGAGTTTGCGAGCGACGGCAATATGTAACATCAGCCATAATTGCACGTGGAATAGAGTGTCGCTTCCATGCATCAATAACCTCTGTATATACTCCGAAGACTCAAGTCGATAGATAAGGCTTATCAAGCCAATCGGTACTTTTCATCTAGTGCTTACCCTAACAGGGTGATTATTGACCATGTCATCCATACATAAGCAATTCCTTTACTAGGATGTGAATCCTGCTTCGGCAGATAAAACTTTACTTCATCTCAGCCAAAATTCAGAATAATAATCGTCAATGTCTGAGCGTACGGGATTTACAAGCAAAAGCAAGAAGCTTGTTAAGCCCGAAATCCCGAGCTTCGCTTTTAGCTAGCATTTTCACAAACCCCGCGGACATTAAAATAACATCATGTTGAACACGAAGGCAGTGGAACGCGGATCAGTGGATACCTCTTCATTTCAACTCGGCACTCAGGAGGCATTAACACGGCGATAGAGATGGCTACTCACATGAAGTTCTCTCTGATTGGTTGCGGAGAGAATTTCGGTTGATCCCGACGTCGTATGCCGATGCGGATGTATGCGAAAAAGATGAATGATCGACGTGCATCAAACAGGTTTGCACGCTGAGCGCTTTGATGTTACCTCTAGTCTCTTTGAAAGAGGGCTATAAATGAAGGAACAATTCTGCCTATTAAATTCAGAATCTACAAAGGCAAATACCACATCTCAACCATCAAGTCAGCCATCTTAACTATTCTGCACTGCTCTTCTACCCACGCGTCAGCATGGGCGTACTACATACAAACCTACTGGGTGAGCTTAGCCTCGGCTCCGTGTTTGCTCTGTTGGGTATTTCTCTGGTAAGTCCAAGCACCACAGAGCTCTCTTCATTCATCTAATCATATCGCAAAGCTTCTATACCTCGTCGCCAGTTCTGTGTACTACGCTTTCCTTCACCCACTCGCCAAAGTCCCCGGACCGAAGCTGTATGCCATAACCCAGATCCCCTATCTCTACTATCTCAGTAGAGGTGACTGGGTCTTCCACCTCGCAAAGCTGCACGAACAATATGGACCAGCTGTCAGATTCACGCCCAAAGATGTCTCTTTCATCACTGCAGAAGCTTCAAAGAAGATCTATGGCCACAAAGCGGCTGGGCATAAATCATTTGAGAAGGACTTTCGCATGTACCGTCAGAACCGCCCTTGCTCAAGTATCGTTCGTTCCGATCAGGAAGACCACAGACGTATGCGCCGCCTACTCGCACATGCCTTTTCGTCAAAGGCACTTCGTGGTCAAGGCGATGTAGTGGATCACTACGTCGAACTGTTCATGAAAGGCCTCACAGAGCGAGCACAGCGAGGAGAGGAAATCGACATTGTAGCTTGGTATAACTTTGCGTCTTTTGATCTCATCGGCCACCTTGCTCTCGGTCAGCCATTCGGATGTCTCGAGAATGGAAAGTATCATCCTTGGGTCAGCAGAGTCTTCAAGGGTCTCAAGGTTCTTTCTTATACTCAGATCTACGTGCGTCTCGGACTTCAGAACTGGATCTCACTGTTGAGTCCGCCAAGCTTGAGGAAGAGCTATGAAGAGCACATGCAGTTCGCAGAGCACGCGGCACTCGCCCGCATCGAATCCAAGGACACTGAAAGCCAAGACTTTATGTCATATGTCCTTCGCCATAACGATGAAAAGGGTATGTCGCAGCTTGAGATTATCGAGAACTCGGGCGTCATGATCATTGCTGGTAGCGAGACGACAGCTACTCTTCTCAGTGGAACCACTTATTTCCTTCTTAAGAACCCTGACAAGCTTGAGAAGTTGACAAATGAGATACGCTCTGCCTTTAACTCAGAGGAAGAGATCACTGTTACCCAGGTTGACCAATTGAAGTACATGCTGGCTGTCTTCAACGAAGGCTTCCGCATGTGTAAGGCTCCCTTCCATCAGGATGCTTGCATTGAGTTTTATACTGATAGTTCCCTTAGACCCACCAGTTGCTGTCGGACTGTCAAGACTTTCTCCTGCCGGTGGCGAGTTCATCGACGGTTATTGGATTCCTGAGAATGTAAGTCACAGTCATAGCTCCCAGTGAGTTACACTCACAAAACTCTGACTCCTACATACAGACTGCGGTTTCAATGCCTCACTGGCCTGCATATTACTCAGAGCTGAACTTCAGAGATCCCAAGAAGTTTGTTCCAGAGCGTTGGCTGGATGATCCTCGATATGCGAGCGACAACCGGGCTATTCTATCGCCATTCTCACTAGGACCACGCGACTGCATTGGCAAAAAGTAAGTGCTGCAGTGTCACTAATATATGTTATAGCTAACAATGGGAAACAGTCTGGCGTATACCGAGATGCGACTCTTGTTGGCTCGCATGCTCTGGAAGTTTGACCTCGAGGCTGTACCAACCGAAAACGACTGGTACGATCAGAAAATCTTCTTCCTATGGGAGAAGGGTGGACTGCCTATCAAACTCAAAGAGGTTGTTCGTGAGAAAGTATGAATGCACGAGAGTCTTATCAATCTAGAGAACCAAAGGACGCTATGTTTGGTAAAATCGTAAAGAAAATATTATGCTTTATTGGAAACAAATACTAGAGAGCAGTAGCAACAGGCTGTAACAGGTTCTTAACGACCAAGTTTACGTATAGTTGAGGCAGCCCGGTTCAGTGACCTCCAGCAGGTCAGTCAAGCTACTAGATAGTTAAGATACATCTCCATACTCCAACGCTAGTCTGTTGCAATCATATATTTAACCTGATGTTGGAGACTTGCGTGGCCTTGCTCTTGCAACCCGAATCAACCCCAGGCCACCAAAAGCAGCTGAAATACCAGTGAATACCATGAGTGGACCATACTTGGTTCCATAGCCAAACCTTCCTCCCCAGCCCATGTCTCCAGCGCTCAGCAATGGGATACTCACAAGGCCACCACTGACAAACCCAATACCTCGAGCTCCATTGAGAAGTCCATACGTAAGACTGGAGTCAATAGTCTCGTCATGATCCTCTGCTTCGCTCTCCAGCTCCTTCGTAATGCCTCCCCAGGTCGCACTGTAACCACCGGCAAAGAAGCCAAAAACAATCGCAAATACAAGTGTAAGAGCAGGACTTCCGTCTACTGACAGTCCCCATAGTAAAAGAACAGACGCTGATGATGCGAAGGCGGAGAGACAAGTGATATTAGTGGCTGAGAATTGATGGTACTTATTGTCAGTGAGCCAACCAAAGAAGAAGCACGAGAGGATGCCTGGAATGTTGTGCAACGTAAGCAAGAGAGTGGAAATGGCTTGACTGGCGCCGTTGAACTCTCTTGCAAATGTTGGGAGGTACGTCTGTGGTAGACAGTATCCTGAGCTTTGGACCATGACAGCAACGAAGTACGTGTAAATGCCACGGTGTTTCAGGAATGTCCATGGTATGCGAGGAGGCTTCCCCTCTCGTGCCACCGTCTTGGAAGGATGCGTGGGGACGAGAAGGATGGACAGAAGACCTGACCCAGCCAGAATGAACGCCCATATCCGAATGGTCCATCGAAAGCCGTATTGGTCAAGAAGATACCGCAGCAGAAAAGGACAGACCGAGCCAACAATATTCCTACACGAGAGAATGATACCATAGGCAATGGCTCGATTGCCAGTGGCATACCACTCCCCGAGAGAACATGTTGCTGGACTATACACGAGAGTACATCCGAAAGCAGCCATGACGCCTTGTGTCACCATGAGATGCCAAACATGGGTACTGAAAGAAGAGAGAATGAACCCAAGGAATGCTATGATAAGGCCTCCAAGCTCTGCTTTGAGCCGTTGATGAGCCCAGTAGCGGGTGAATATCGCAAACAAGAACGGCATGGAGATATACATGACTCCGTTGGAGGTAGTGCCGACTGTGCCAGTGATGGAGAGATCGCCATCTAGAGTCCAGTTGCTTGTCCAGTATTCTTCAAAAATACCGTAACTCAGATTAAAGCCTACAATGGTATCGTTAGTCAAGGTTTGAATGCTAAGCCGTAGTTTGCTTACCCCAGAGTGGGAGCTGCATGAGTGCTGAGCCCCAAAGCACGCCTAGTTTCTTTTTATGATCATCACCGATGGGTTGGTCTGAG